TGAAGAACACTACAAAATTGATCAAATACTGAACCACAAACTATGCAAGGTCAGAGCAAAAGGTGGTGGCATGACAACAACCATTGACTACCTTATCAGTTGAAAGGGTTATGGACCTGAATCAACCAATAGGTAAATAAAAAACAAATAAATGCTGCTGATGCTATATGAAATTATAAATTATCCCAAAATTAAACTATCAGAACAATGGTCTTAAGGAGAGGGTAATGTTACAATTTTTATCTTTTCTTCTATCTTTTTCTTTCATTTCTACAGTTTCTGCTTAGTCAGAGCATCTAGCACTAGTGCTTAGGACCATGAGACTAGCTTAGTCATCACAACAGACTCAGTTGATCATTGTCTCTCAACACAACATGGTTGCCTGACAATGCACAATTACTCTTTTATGGACAATAGTGACATCCAAGAACAAAGAGCACAACAACTAGGATAGACACAATAGGTAGTAGTATTTATATTGACAATAACTTGTAGTATATAAGAAAGCTCACTCTCACTGGTAACCCCCAGCTTCAAGCTAAAGTTTATTCTTACACCATTCTATCTTGAGCTGACTCTAAGGCCTTGCAATCACACCAATCAATATTCACACCAGTGAACTCTGACATTCCACTTGAAGTGTAAAGTGATATCAGTTTATCATGTGTCTACAATCACATAAAGCTTAGATCTAACAACTACCTACAAAAGAGTATTGTCTGTCATTGAAGGTCATCATCATATCAGAGGACAATGGCAGACTCAGCCTAATATGGTGACTAAGCCTGTCTCATAGTCCTAAGCCCTGGTCTAGGTGCTCTGACTAAGCATAAATAGAGGTTAATCAAGAAAGAAAAAAGAGAAAAATTGTAACAATAGCATTATATACTCATGAGGTGAATCACTCAAACTAATGAGCTTTGTTGATGCTGACTATGAAGGTTGCAAAGATACTATGAGGTTAATGTCTGGATATGTCTTCATGATGTCTGGTGGCCCAGTATCATGGAGCTCTAAGTGATATGCAACTGTTATATTGTCCACCACCAAGGCTGAATTCATGTCTCTTACCTATGCAGTGCAGCAGTTGAAGTGGATGTTTTTATGATTGAAGGAGGTTAGCTTGGAGCAGGAGAGGCTGAGGACACTGAAGTGCAACAACTGTAGAGCAGTGTCACTCACCAATACAACTTAGAACCACTACAAGGTCAAGCATATTGACATTTGCAAGCATTACATGTGGAAGTTGGTACAGACCAGCAACATTAAGATCAAATTTATTCAAGAAAAAGTCAATGCTGCTGACTTGTTCACTAAACCCCTCTACCATGACCACCACTACTGCTACCTTGCTGATCTCAACATTATTGATTGACCTCCTATGTCTGGGAGAGTGTTAAACTAGATACAGTATACCTGCCATGATCTCACATCTATTATCTATAATGTATGCCACCCTTTTCTTTATCCATACCCTTATACTTCACACATCAGTATATATAACAGTAGAGTAGATCTGCTACCTCATTCATTTCACCTATACTATGCTGACTGAGGTATATACACTTTCTCATATACCTATATACATCTTACTTACTCACTCTCTTAGTTCTTACTTTGTTGTTTCTCTTACTCTATAACTATAATCAGATCTCAGTTTTATATATCTAAAAACTGGTCTCTATTCTTTCATCCAGATACACACTCTGACTGGTATTACATAGCAAACTCAGACATACTGATCAGAAAAGAAGCAAGGATAAAATCCTATATTTCTCATGAGTGAGATTCCAGAGAAATGCAACTCTCTCTTGAATCAAGACTCAGAGTTGGATGGATGGATAGTGCTTTCAGTGTATACAGTGCTGAATATGAGCATAAGAGAATAAATGATCTCTCTCTCACTTAGTCAGCATCTTATGTGTGCTATTCTCATATAGTTGAACTGCTCATAATGTTCAGCTGCCTAAGTACTCTCAGAAGAATGAGAAAACAAAAGAAGAAGAGAAAGTAAGAATAAAATCCTATATTTCTTATAAGTGAGATTCCAGAGAAATGTTCTTCCAATGATAAAAACTCAAAGTATATAGTATACTTTGAGTACAGTCAGAGATCTCTGGAATCTGACTCTCCTCTAAGTGAAATTATTGAAACATGACAGTTATACAATTACAATGAAGATAAATGAGTTACAGATTCTTTAATAGAAGCAAATTTGTTTATAGTATCTCCAATAGAAAATGATAAGATTTCCTCAACTTTATGCTAATAGAATAAGAATGCCTTTGAGAACTGTAGTGTCTGATGAATATGAATTCTAGCATCTTAATCTTGCATTCAATTCATCCTGCATCATTAATTCTGCTTATCAAAAATAGCCTACTAGAAATTCTCAATTGCTGAGCCATTTCTTGATAGACTTCATTTCTCATCAGATGCTCTTCAAGACCTGAAGCAGTGAGAAAGACTATAGCATTCATATGATATAGCTCAGATTTGAGCACTATGATTTTCTTATTATTGTTTCTCTCTTGGCTATGGTCTGCTCATCAACTGAGTAAATCTACCTTCTTGTTGGCAGTGCCAGGTTTGTATGATATTCATCCAGTTTAATCACTCAACATGCTTATCAGTGGTTCAGCTTTTGTGGCTTCTTAAAATACTAGAGGTTTTAATGATCCATCCAGATTTCAAACTTGTACTTTGTATTTATAAGATAATAGCACCACTCTGTTGGAATTTAGATGCTGGCAATTCAGAGGAAGGCATATTGGACTCAAAGAAAAGGTACATTTCATTATATAGAGTAAGAATAGTGGGAGTTGCAAGTCAAGTCAAAAAAAATAGGTACAAATATGTCAAAGTATAAAGTAAGCAGTAAAATATATATAAATAGAATATGATATTAAAGCCATAAAAACTGAATCTCAACACACTCATCTAGAGCCATCATGATAGCCAGCAACTTTTTATCATAAATCTTATAGATCTGCTCAGTGGTAGACAATGCTTTTGATAAATATGTGATGAGCTTCCACTGTCTATTCTGTTTCTGAGAATGGCTCTGAGGGCTCCTTCTGATGTGTTGGCTTCTTATTGAATTTTCCATTGTCAATCAGGATTGCAAGAATGGGATCCAAGCATATTCAGTGTTTGATTTTTTGAAATACCTATTCTTGTGCCTTCTTCTATTTTCACTCAGTCTTCCCAGCAATTGTAGTCAGCAATAGGGCTATCTTGCTGTAGCCATTTATAAAATATCAGTAAAAGTCTGTGAATTCTAAAGAAAACTGCAACTTTCTCTTCTTGATGAGTATTAGCCACTCTCATACTCTGATAGTTTTTATCAGATCCATTCACAACTTTCCTTCTGATATAATGAGATCTAAGTATTTTATCTTGAGTGTTTTAAACTCACACTTTTCTGATTTCAGATATAACTTGTTTTTTTGCAGAATTTGTAACATCTGTCACATAGTCTTATAGTGCTCTTTGAGTATTTTCAAGAAAATTATTATATCATCCAAATAAATGATCATCTTTCCTTTGGTGATAAAGTCTCAGAATATATCATTCATCATTGTCTAGAAAGTTGCAGGTGAATTTGTGAGCCTGAAGAACATGACCAATAGCTTAAAACAACCCTCCATTGGTTTGAAATACTGCTTTCTACTCATCTCCTTTCTTGATGCAGATATTGTTGTATTCTCAGCATATATCTAGTTTTATGAAGTACTTTATGCTTATTAAGCCCAAGTGACACATGATTGAAACACATGATAAATAGGTGCTGTATTGAGTTTGTACAGTCACATCTAAGTTCACTTTATGTGTTTATATGGTGTTATATTCTAAGGCCATTACAGGTTGGCTTGAGATAGAATGATAAGAGAATAAACTGTAGCTCAAAGCTGAGGATATACAGCAAGAGCTACACTACTTATATACCATTCAAGTCCTAGTTAAATATATTCCTACTAATTGTGAGTTTCTGTGTTATAGTGCTCTTTGTCCTTGAGCACCATTACTACCTACAAAAGAGTATTGTCCATCATTGAGCATTGTCATTGCATTGGAGAACAATGACAGACTTGGCCTAATATAGTGACTAAGCCTGTCTCATAGTCTTAAGTGCTGATCTAGATGCTGTGACTAAGTATATATAGGAGTTAATCAAGAAAGGAAAGAGGAAAAATCATAACAATGCTGAATGACTTGTCAATGAGCTCAAAGATAAGCAGAAGTGGATAATGATTCTTAATTGTCAAATTGTTCATCTTCTGATAGTCTTGTATGAGTTTTAACTTTCTGTCCTTCTTTTTGATAAAGAAAAAGGAGGATGCCATCAGTGATTTAGACACCTGAATTCTTCTGCTAGAGAGATTCTCATCTAGGAATTTGCTGAGCTTCTCTTACTCCATCCATCGAAGTGGATATCCTTCCAGTTTCTTGTAATACTCTCTTGAGATTTATTTTATGCATTATCCTGCAGTTGAGCATCTCTGTCATCCAGATGAGCATGATTAAGTCTGATAGCATCAGATACAACTCTTGTAGTTACCATATCATAATAAATTATACCATCTTGGGCACAATCATCAGTGGAAGACAGAGCAGCATTGGAGAAAAGGAAGAAGAATAAGTGCACTGCCATACTTGTTCTTTTTGTTTTTTTTTTTTTCTTACCTCATCATCTATTCCTTGTTTCTTTGATTTAGAGCTTATTTCACAGCTTGTCAGGACTTCTGATATTGAAAGTGAGTTTTATTCTCCTTCCAAAAGCTTAGCTATAAGTATTATAATCAAGACTAAATTTCTAAATTCACTGCATGATATCTGCACCCCCTTGTGCTCAGTCTACAAGCACAAAAGTTTGTCCTATCACAACAAACATGACTCTCAGGCAAAATACAGTAACTAAATTCATTTCTCTTGAAAAACCACTGCTAGATAAACATAGACATTTACAAGTACATCATACATCTTCACCTTCACTCCATTCACTGAGGCAGGTAAACCAAAGAGTTAAGATCTTTGAGAGTATCTCCATCACTCATTACCTCGGTATCAGATGCCGTTAAGGCGAAGGTAAATCGAACGATGAACTCGGCCCAACGGAGAGCCGAGCTACCGGAAATGGTCCCTTCGTGTTGACGAAATTCTATCGTATCATGTTTAATAAGCGACGTGAAGTTGACCTTTAATTGTCACGATAAGTCACCGGCAGAACCAAATACTAACCTCCCACACCTTGAAAAACTTCGAATCCTGATATCCATCATAACTACTGGCCTCACTCTCCTCACGGGAGACGAAGTTCAGCAACGCTGCTAAACCAGTCACATCGGTAACATTCTGGATGCGAGCGTAGATTTCAGAAAGGCTCAGATCCTTGAGAGCGTCGTTGAATCGATTGGATAGGATGTTGTCGTGGTCCTTGATGCGATGGACAGGATGAAGTGAGTCCTGGGCAGCTGGAAACTCAATGAGATAAAAATCACTCGAATGGTACTTACTCTCAAAACGACACACGAGCATCGCTACACGTTTCAGTTGAAGTAACGTGAATCGATCTTCCCTAACCGCGTCCAACGTGCACATGAAGCCCAGTAGATCGATTCGCCTTCCAGTTGACACGAGAGGCCACTGCGGATAGGACGCACCTAATCTCATCCCTCCACTCATTCCCTTCCGTTTCATAGAAGATGGGTGACACTAGTCCGATGCCAAAGCGGGACTGGAAGGCGCTATCAGAGGCATCAGACTGGGAAGTTGCCTTCTGGATTGTGGCGTCAAACTCCAGTCCTACTGACAAGGGCATGATGGAAAAGATAAGAGTGGGTGCCACCTGGTCCCACGTATATAACGCTGAACATATTACCATTTTGGACCACGGGATTTGTCATGCTTACGTGGCGTTTATGCTACTTGCAGAAGCTCATCTCTTGAGCCTTCACGTTCATTGTCCTCAACGGCATTTACTCGTATGTCAACTATGGTAACCCAATCGAAGAAAGATAGATCTCAGGTCAGTCTGCGCATGCCATTGCCCAGTAAGTACTCATCTGAACATAGCCACGACCTTTGTTTCTATATGGAACTCTTTGTGCGATGCCACTGTTGGCTTGGGCTCTCACGGGCGACTCCAGGAAAACGAAAGAGGTTGAAACTCTCGTTCAAGCCGCTTATGTGAAGGGATATTCCAGATTTTCCCTGTATGGCAAAGACTACCCCGCCGTAATCAAACACGTCGACACCTCCGTTGTCGACGGCCTACTCCTGTGGCCCCGAAATCACTCACAACGTACAAAGTTGGACGACTTTGAAGGAGAGATTTACAAGCTTACTCCAGTCGAAGCAAGGACTGTGAATGAACGCGGCGAAGATGACGAGGTGATCGATGCAGATATGTACCTCTGGGACGGCGACCATGATGCCATGTCGAAGGATGGCTGGGATCTACATACTTTCATTCAAGAACGCCTTGATGATTGGTTGGAACTGTTTGGTGGAATGGAACTCGTAGGGGACGATGACAAAGATTAGCCATCCCTGATCCTGATCCACAGTTCTGCGAAGAAATCTCCTTGAAAAGTATACAGTATTTGTGTACTTCTACATCGATGCGCTTGAGCTACACTTTGTTGGAAATCCTAGGTGTTGTGCAGGGTAGACTCCAAGCTGGTAAGGCCAGATAGAATGAACTTGTTATTCTACAGCTCCTACAGAGCTTGTATTTATACTCTCCAGGCTTATATCTAGAATTTACTATAACTTTCTCTTTCTCTCAGGCTTACTCATCAATTCTTGGCATGATGCTAGATTGCTCTTTCTAGAACTTTCTGGAAAAATCCCAACACACTTGATACATGTTCCTCTGTAGAAAAATCTAAGAGACCATCATTCAAAGGAATAAATGTGCCCTAAAGCAGAAGAACATGTGTGCTGAGTGCAAATAGCAGTCAAAGCCATAGCAAAGGTGTGTAATCACAGTCTCCTGTCAGCATTTTCTTTAGAATTTTATTGAGAAGTAATTTAGCATTAGGTTGTTGTTTGGTTCAGGATGCAGGTTGCCAGTTACTGCCACCAAAAGTATCTGCTGCAACACTAGTACTGTCTAATGTTGTAATGCAATCAGGTGTTATTCTTCAGTTGATGCTCAGCCTGTTTATTGCTTTATATCCTCTGAATCAGAACAATCCAATTTGGCATCTTCCATGTTTGACATTTCTTTGGTAGACAAGAGGTCAATCAGAAGTCCCCCCCCCTCCCTCTTAGGGCAGTTGTTGCAGAATCAATTGTGACACCCTCGACTTTGCACGAACAAGGGAAGATATCATTGGTTCAATATGTGTCGAACTACATGATGCATTATTCTTGATGAGAAAACACTGAAAAAAGATAGCCTGAAGCACAGGAGGTAAGATAAAAGGTCAGAAAGAAGGTATCGACTTTGATAAGGGCCGGGTATCTTATACACAACATGAACTGCCTATCTACTTACTAAATTTTACGTGCACATGTAAAATAACTTTGGATACGAACAGACGAATATCAAGAATGATGTATGAGCTAGATGCAACCAACGTCGATAATGGAGCAAACAAGAAATGAAACGGCGAAGAGCAAGAAGATTAAGCCCAACAAGGTGTGTGGTTACGATTCGTGAACCGAAAGAATTCCTAACTAGGTTTGGAATCATTTCCGACCAAGGAAAGAACGTCGCTCACTACCAGTGGCATTTGACGAAGTCGGGAACAGCGCAGACTCGACTTCACAAACTGTTCCCTCGTGGGGCAGAGTACCGTTTTGAAAGTAAGCTTGAACGTACGCCTGTGTGCATGTGGAAGACGCGACCGTGGATGTGTGCTATAGCAACGGAAGAAGTGACTGTACGAAATATGTTTTTGAACGACTACTCACCCCAGATGAGTTCTGAGTCAGGACTACGGAGCCAGGGAATGCGCTGGACGTCTTCTTCGCCCTGAAAAAGGATAAATAAAGTAATCCTGACATGTGGTACTGCCGACTTACATAGCGAGGGGAGTAACGGGATCTGAACAAGAGATTGATATGAGTAGGAAAAGAGGGCCGGGGATAGATGGACATACCGGCCGTGTTTCCTATAAGAAGAATAGGATAACTAGTATTTCCTGTGATTGGACCTAACATGGGATACATCATAACAAACCCAAGTGATTTGTGCAGCCAACAGCAAATAGCGCACCCGTGAATCTGCCTTCGCGATGGAACTTCCATCCACTAAAGAATCACGATTAGCACCACACCCGTCAAAGGAGGAATCGACGCACGAGCAGCTGATCCTCTCTATGATGAGTATATCGGCAAACGTCGATAAACCTTCGATACTATCCCAATATGCAAACAGATCTGCTACGGTATCCGTATTATTCACGGCATCACCGCAGGAAACAGCAATTTCCGCCTCCCATGAATTATCATAAGCAGAAGATGGGTCGTAGGTTGTCGCCTGCATATCGTAAATTATGCTGCCATTCCCGTTGGCCAGACTAGCGAGACCTTCGGCAAGAACGGAGAAATAGGTGTAAGGCTCGTACAATGCGTTCTTGACTGCGGTTCTCAAGACGGTATAGTCGACGACACCGTAGAATGATGGGGATACGACCGGGACTGGCTCGGTGAGAAGGGACTCATAAATGGAGTTGAGGTTATCGGATATCTCGTCAGCAACAGGGGCGTAGAAGGCACATCTGTCGGGACCAGCAGCCGCGCATCCGTCGAAGAATGATTGCATGTCCTTGTCAATATTGAGGATCTCATTTCGCCAGTCGCCTGAGAACAACAAGATGTCAGATATTGTATGTTTGTGGACGCAGCATTACTATCTTACCGCTGTAATAGCCATCCATATCTAAAACACCTATATCATATAAGTAGGAGAGCCTGAGGACATGAGAATTTGACGACACTCACCATCAAGCACGATACGTTCAACTTTATCCTTCATAGTCCGTTAACTTAACGTTTCAGGGGAGAGGAAGATACGCACAGGAAACATGGCAGCAAAAGTGGCGCCAAGAACCGTCCCATAACTAGAGGGAAGTGATCAGCCATCGAACAGAGGCAAAAAAAAAACCCTCTGGCTTACGAGAACCCCCAATACTGCAGCTTCTCTTGACCCGCTGCCTCACTAATTCCCAACATATCTCGAGCGACATTGTCCGTAGTAATGTAATCCAAGATTCCATTATCTCTCTCCTTGGCCAATTCCGCGACAACTTGTGCAGATGCCCATAGATGAGGAATTTGGTCTGAGGTCGCGTTGACAACATGGCTCCAATGATCGGTACTGGCAAGCCATTGCAAGTGCTCTTGTTCGGAGAGGAAGAACTCTGCTCGAGGCGTCGAATTGGCGACCCCTACGACAATCACGGTTTGACGTGTAGCACATGATAAAATGCAGTTCAACATACCACGAGGATCGAAGCCGATAATGTCGTATTGCTTCCCGATAACAGAGGCGAGAGCCGAACCACTGAAAATCATTGTAGCGATACCACTACCGCCAGGGCCTCCCGGATTGATCAGTACGGTTCCTTTATAGTCAGTCTCGGATTGAGCGGAAAGCTTGATTACCGCAAGAGCAGCTTTGTCACTGTCCTCATTCGAGTAATCGATGGGTACCTTCCGTCGCGCAGAAAAGCGTTAGTGAACACGCGGTAGTGGGAAGGGGGAAGGCTTACCTGGAAACGCGTGCACTGATAGTCGGAGTAGCAGTCGACCCATGATAAGTTGCTCGTTGGTTCAATCTATAACCGAGTCATAAGCGGCACCCAATGAGGAGAAGTCAAGCAAACAGTAGTCCAATCGAAGTCACTCTGAGCCAATACTTCTGGGAACAGGAACACTGAATACAAAACGCAGAACGTAAAAATGAGAGAAATCATTGAAGATGACATTAAGCAAGAAAATATTCGCGAACATTTATATGCGTCGACGACAGCAGGGCCAGTCGCATTGAAACATGAGTTTGATACAGATGCAGTGTCAACTCGAATTCTGCACTTCCGAGGCAGATGGAAATTATCCGAGCAACTGCGGATAGCGTCTGTAAAAGGACATCTAAGTCGCATGACGGCACGTCTATTGGTGCAGCTATGTATTGTGCGATCCTGTATCGTGAACTACTGATGGCATTCAAAGATCAAAGCAATATAATCACCACACGAAATCAAGCCGGGCTGTGTTCCTTGTTTGATCACAGTACAATACGGGTAAGTAGCGCCGTCTTCACCCATGTTGAGTTATGACACTGTTTCATGTTTAATACCAGGGTAATATAATGATACCTCCCAGGAAGACATGGACTGCGCACCAGGAGATATGTCAAAATCGCTGGAACCTAGGAACAGCAGCGCAGCGTGAGAGAGGGTAATAAGAGAATGGTAGAAATGAATAAAACAAAGAAAATATGATAGTTAAAATTGTCTTTCCTAAAGAATAGAATGGGCTTCAGACACACGGGTGTGAGCGACATGGTAATAAAGACCGACATAGGTCGGCAATTGCCAACACAAGCAATGGATAAAAAACACTCATCGCTTGGATTGTAACCAATGTCTCCTGACCCATATTCGATGGTATCGTGATTCTTCGCTTTCTAATAACCTCAATATGCCAAAGAACCCCGAGATGTTGAAAACCATGCAGCACTTCTGTTCCTGGCATTGACGTCGCGCAATTTCAACAGACAAGTAGTTCAAGGTGAAAATGGGATTCTTGTGCCTTGTTTGCGTTTGTATGTTGAAGCGTCAGGAAACTGAAACCAGTCTTCTCTCGGTGACGTGCCACCTGGACCCCAAGTTCAGTTTTTACTGCCGTATATTACAGACGTCTGCTCACGAGTATTGATATCACGCAGATCTCAAGTCCAGTCTGCCCCGACCGTGAAGCGAAAATTTATAGAGTTAGGTTCGATATCAGAACTACGGGCGCCTTTCAAACTGCGCGGAGTTCATCGGGAGTCCTTGCCGTATCCCAAACGGATCATCATTTATTTAATCTATACAGGTGCTACCCACTTCGCCACCAACTTCTGCCTCACGTTTCCCTCGGTCTTGAAAGCGAATGTGTGAAGCTGCCACCTTTTCATGTGAGTTAGAATTAAAGTGATCTGTCAGTGATCCATACTCGCATTATCTCCAGACCTTCGTCCATGCGAAGTTACACATCGATGCTGCTCCTCCAGCTTCATTTTGCGACTACATCCCCGTCTGTCCATTCACCAATGAGCACTATCCCATCACGTTCTTTGGGGAAAGGAGACGGCGTTCGCCTTTTTCGACAAATCAAAGTCTGAACAAGGGTACATCAACTCCTCCGAAGATCTAGTGACAGAGATAGGCTCGTGATGATTCTGCACACCTTCCAATAGATTCATGTCATGTCCAGCACTGTTGGGATCCTGATGAACTATGCCCTCCATAATCCTGGCGATGGTGCACTTCTCATTCACGATTTTTCCGTACGATGATAATAAGCAAAATAGGATTCTGTTCGTCACATCGACGGCACATTTTGGGCATGCTTGTCTTTGCGTGCTGTGATAAGGTCTAGGTGAAACCATCAGTTTTTTCCGCGTCTCTCTCAGAAATATTAGGCTTTGAGGAGTCTGGAGAGCCGCGGCCTGAAAATATCCATCATTAGATTTGGCATATGAAGCGCACGAATTGACATGTTGAAAGTAAGATGGTCACATAAATTCCAAATTGTCTCCTGAAGGAATCTTTGCTGGTCAAGTCATTAAAAGCATGAATATTATGTGTTCAGCCACAGAAGGGTTGTCGTTAGATTGAGAACAGTTTAAGGGAGTGGGGAAAACGAAGGAAAGATATGGAACACCATTTGTACATTGCACAACGGTCAATGGAAATAACAGACATGAAAGATGATTAGTGTACATATTCAAGGCAACAAAGATAGTCTGCGGCTTCGTATTAGTACTGAACAGAATGTCATGTACTAAGCGTGCGGAACAGCACTCACCCTTCGGACTTCACAACGATATGCAGAAACGAATAAACGACACTGATGCCTAAACTGTCTTACAGAACGAATCAACACCAAACGGAACCCGGCAACAGAAGAAATACAGTGAATATAAAAATTAGAATAAACGAATGTTAGCCCAGAATACTAATGATCCAAAGTGTGTAAGCGGCGGCATAGGTACGGGTGAAGCGACTTGAATGGTCTGGACTCTTCGCCACGGCAGGACGTGTTTTAAGAGACGTATTCCACCGCCGCCTCCATCCATCGCCTCGTAACCCGGTAACCCTCAATTTATATCTCCTCGAACGTAGGATCTTCCAATAACGCCAGCTTCAATGCCTCTGGGTCCTTCACACGGATCACCGTACTACAGCGCTCAACGATGTTCCCCTCCCCCCTACCCTAGCTGTCATTGAATCGCACGTACCTGGGAGCGTCTGGATCCTTCCGCTGGTTTCTCCACACTTTGTACACCAGGAGCGAAATATCCAACATAGCCGTCGCCACCTTGTCCCGAAGGGAATCGTGCCAATTCTTGGGTGCGGCTCCTACCTTGAACTTGGCGACGTCCTTTTCGTGCTTACGCATGAAATGCTCGTCCATATATAACGTTCCATTCGCTCTAGACGTCGATAAGCAGACCAAGTTGAAAGGTAGAAACGTGAGACGTACGACACAAACTTCTCCCCACCGATCAAGAAGGCAGCCATCTCTGTAGGATGGAGGATCTGCTCTACTGGGGCATTCGCATGGAGTGAACGTTTCCTAGCAGTCGTTGTACAGGGTGTGCTCGTAATGGTCGCGCGCTTGAAGTACTCCGGGTATTTGGCACGGACGTGGAGGTCGCGAGAATTTACTTGATGGTAGTATTAGACGCATCTTCACTGGTGGGTCCAGAAGGAAGAGGAAAATATTAAACACGATCGACATAGACACGAGTTTGCGCGTGCGATTGGCGTAAAGGAGCCCCGATTAGAATAACCGGCGCTAGTCACATAGATGCGCAGAGTAGGGGTAAGATCATTGATCTTGTTCTAGCAACAGCTTAAGTTGGAGAGCAGGAGAAAGATGGAATGTAACAATATCAGATGGCAACCAAAAGCTGACCTTCTAATATGTGTCTGAATGGTAGAGGCTCTCTATCTTAGCTTCGTGTCAGAATGGTAATGATCTTGACAGCGGGAAACAGTTTGGGGACTACAGTTAGCGTTAAATGTTACGTATGTACCTTGCGCCCAGACCAAGCAAGGCACGTGTTGGTTCGCAGGCGAAAGTGAACACGTTCTTTCTGGGTTTCGACACACTCGGAAGACGATCGTGTTCTCATGATTCGGCTGACAGGTAGATACTACAAGATAGGGACCGCACAAGTTCGTTAGACCGTGATATCGCGAGTCTGCCGGATGTCGGCACAGCCCTTTGCGCACGAGGATCAGCAACCCGGTCCATTAGCGTGCAGTTGACGATACAGCTTCGAACTGAGTTAATTGTGCAGAGGCCGGACATCGGTGCCATTGAGTCGGCAAATCCGTCCAGGTAGCGGTTTTCGTTGCTATCGAACAGTCCTGCACTGTATGTATTTCATGAAGGAATCCTCCGCAAATCTCAGCCTTGGTCGCGGCCTTGAGTAAGAAACATGAGGATAACAAGTCTTTCACTCTGTCCATGACGGAGCGCTCGGATAGATAGGGACAATGCGAAGGGAGAACACACGGTAGAAGGGGGGGGAAAAAACTCCGTGGATTTAAGGTGTTTCGGATAACGCTAATGACAAGCCGTCTCAGCTTGGTGTTTTTTTTTTTTTATTGGAAAAAGGTTTAATTTTGGGACTAGGCGTGGTGGTGGATCGGTACTGCAGAAATCGAATGCTAGTAAAGCGTCGATGGAAGGCAACTGATTAACTGGAGAATGGCCCAACTAGAAAGAAACCGGGAACAGAAGTCGTTGCGATAGAAGATGGAGCGATCCGGTATGGAGAAGCAAATGTCACGCCATCAATTCAACGACAATATCTCGTCAGTAATATTCATCCGTTACGAAGCATTCCTTCAGCTAATCGTTTCATAGCTCATCATAAATCACAATATGATCTGTTGCGGATTTGCTCTCTTAGACAAGACCAAGGTGCCAACTGTCCGAGGCAAAGATACCACGTGTCCATCTAGTGCTCTCGAGCTTCAGGTCCTTCCAAGTCCAGGGCAGCTCCCCAATGCAACGATGTCCGCCGGCGACATAGGATATGCACGTTTCAAATCGAGAATATCATAAAGAACCAAAGCTGTACTGGAAAGTGGTGAAACATGCATTGCCTTCCTAAGTTGTGCCAAAAGGTGTTCGGTCTCGAGAATCAGTTTTCTAGTGGGAACTGATAATCATGTAATCTGTATGTAAATTGTACAGCAACAAATTATTCGGATATGGTGTAACGGCTAACATTGCCGCCTCTCATGTTCATTGAATAGTTGAGATCGCGGCAGCTCGGGGTTCGATTCCCCGTATCCGAAGATGGGTCTTTGTTGTTTCGTTTTTGCACTGCCTACGAAACCTCCACGGAGGGTACAATTTTATGCTGAAGCCTGGTTTTGATACCGTTACTTACCTTATCACGTGACAGGGCCGTGGTAGTCACGGATTTTTTTCTTTAGTCTTTGTCTTCGTGTTTTTATATATCTAGTTGATCTCTGGCTGTAATTTACTGGAAAGCAAGGCATATCTATAGTGGACAAAATGTAACAAATTTTCTTGTTAAAATATGAAGAAAATATGCAAAGTTTTCTCAGCTTTTTTTTTCCAAAAAGATTTGTAAATTTGTTGTTTGCAAATATTGCCAAATATGACATCTTCTTGCCTGAAAACAAACTTGATATATTTTCTGTGTATATCAGTGCAAAGATACTCAAATTTTCGTGCAGTGCCATGATTTTGCATGGAAAAGACCATATGTATATTACAGTACTGAATATAAGGCTCAAAATAAAGCCCATGCATAGTTCAACATGACAGGTAAGTTACCTCGATGAAAACCCTTCCCGCGACGGGGTAGTAACTCACCGGTCCGAAACTCAGGGTTTCGTGCGCAACCCTACTCGGTCTACTGTCTGGTTGGGCATGAAACCAGTGTTACTTGCGGTCTTTTACTCATGCCTCCTCGAGAAATTAGACCGTTACTCAACTATCACTGAACCTGAATGTTAGAGGATATTGCCGCATGAGAATGCATACACACACCGTTATCGGACGTCGCAAGAGACAGGACAGAAAGTGCTGTAGCATACGAGGGAGAACAGCTAGAGGAGGATTAGAAATGTACTTCGGTCCCAAGCGTGAAATGAATGTGAATTTACCTTCAATGCACGAGGAAATGGAACGACTTGATCTTGACTGGGCAGTATCAGAGGGTAAGATATGGAAACAGGTATTACAGGTTGAGCAAAAGACGCCTCTAATGTCCTAAGAACAGGGGAGTTGGAAAGAATCGTCTTTGTAGCCATGAAAAGGTGAGGACTCGGCAAGGAGCTGAGGAGAGGCGGATAGATCAGAGCAGAACTTGATGGCTTGCGTGCACAGGTAATGAACACTTTTCTCATCAAGCAAAGCACAATGGTGTCATACAAACTAGTAAATGTATTGTGCGACTGAAATGAGGCACATATAATCAGGCTATGTCTCCACATTGGAATTAAGAATGTACTCTTGATAATATAAAGCGGGAGCAGATACCAGGCACAGATATTGACCGAATATAGTTGATTTTCCGCATGTCGAGCCCCACACATATTAGTACAGCGTTGTTGCCAAGCATTGTGCCACCCAAAGACCCTGGGCGTTGGTAGGACGCCTGCGAGGCGGTGCTTGTGCCTGTACATGTGAGGGTAGGATATTTCCCGAGTCGACGATAGTGCGTCCTAGCTTGGATTTTGCTGTGGGCTTTAGTCTTGGCTGTCAAGATAGTGGATATCGGCACTTTGTGGATATCCTGTTAGTGGGCCTCGTCGTGGGTATTGGTTTGATGGTATTGATCTGACGGATACAGGAGCCTAAGGAAAGGTGATGGGCTGAACAGCGCTGGGCAGGAAGGGTACCGTCCTCGATGTGTTCAGCATCGTGCTGGTCGTCGTTTGCCTCGAAATGGACCTCCACAATGCCTCATCACCGTCTTCTTCTGTCCTCGCTCCTCTCCTAATTCCTCGTAATAATCTCTCGAGATCCACTTGATAGGATACGTCGTCTTGGCTATGGGCAGTCGAGCACCTCTGCTATTTGGATGAGTGTGTTGGTGTCAAATAACGCCAGAGGCGACCCTCGGGTCGTAAGAAAGCATATCGCCTTGGACAGATTCGCCGGTGGAATAGAGAGTACAAGTGCTAAGCTGATTGCGGCAGCCGTTGAGCGTTGGGCCTTGGTAATGCAAGGTCGGAAGAAAAAAATATATTGGATTGGGATTTTGCAGCACTAAATCAAGGGCTACACTTGGAGTATTGTGTTGGACAAGTAGGTGTAAACGATATTGAGATATTCGGCGTAGTGAATCCATTGGAGTGAATTTGGAGGAGAAATGTACTGTACAGCCACCATCATTCTTGTCATCCGCTACGGACCACAGCCGACGCGCTCTCCAGAGTATGAGGCGCCTGCTTTCCAGAGACCGTCTTCAACACTTCTTTCTTCCCTTGCTCCATCATATCCGCTTTGTTCTCTCTCTCGTTTTCATCCATTCTTCTGTCGCTAAGCCGACAGACACCTTCCGTGCTCTTCATCGTGCTTCGCCTTCCGCCTCACACGCACACACCGTCGTCTATTGATTGAATAAGAGTCGACTTGAGCGAACGCGTATCGTCTAAGTCGTGCACCACAGCCTGAAGCTTCTCGATGGTTACTTGGGGTCCAGACTCTCTCGCGACTAGTGTCTGTTGATGACATGGAGGAACGCCAACTTTGCATTCAAATTTGAGCCCGTCCGTATGGGGAAGGTTGTTATGTCTACTCTCAAGGCAGCACTCTTATCCCCTCGCTGAATGTCATTCAACGGCCATCTAATCGTGGAGGTTGTTGTAGTCATGTCCCGGAGGCAGTCTCGATATGTTGGTGGCACGGCACAGAAGGACAAACGAGTTTTGATCCTTGCAACTTCAGAAGAGCTTCAGCAATGTGTGTAAGGCATCCTTCGGTCGTTCTTTTCCTTTTTAACAACGGTCTCCTGTAGTCTCAACGAACATTCACACTCTGCTTGCGTCTGAGTTAGTGCATTCAAGTGCTGAAACGGAACGAAAATAGGTCGGGACTCAATTGCTATTAAGTACATGCACTCTCGCCAACGATCTAAGACGTCCAGTAAAATACAAGCTAAGCCAAGTGCAAACTTGCCAGTCAAACGCTACCGTTCATCCGGCATCATCCCCGTTTCCTCCCAAGCCGCCTGCGCCTCGTCCCACGCCTTTTTAATGATCCGCTCACACTTCTCCGACCTCGGCTTGAACGATATGTTATACAACTTTGGTATACTCACGAACCCATCTGAGAACGTCCGCTCATCATCCGCAATATCCGGGATAATCGGTTTACCAGTCTTCTCGTCGATGGGAGCCTGGAAGTCGATACCCCAAAGGATGCGAGAGAGCACGATGAAGAGGGAGGCTTCAGCGATGTAGCTTCCCTGGCAGAAACGGCGGCCCCAGCCAAAGACATAGCTGCGAGTGAGGTTAGTATAATGGATGTCGTTGGAAGCGAGGGAAGAGCTCACTGGTCACGGTCCTGATCCGGTCCGCTCGCCCAGCGTGTGGGGTTTCCGGGGACGTAGAACCGCTCTGGTTGGAACGCGGTGGGGTTGCTGTAAGACACAGAAGGGTTAGTGCACGTCGGTACGCCCATCTGAAACTCACGGGTAACGTGCGGGATCCATATGGATAGCCCATACATTTCCGATGACCGTTGACCCCTTGGGGATAAACCACCCATTATAAACTTCATCCTCATCCGCACTATGCGGAATACCTGAATAGATCATCATCAGCCAACCACCACAGGGCCCATAACAATCCCAGTCTTACCCATAATCGTCGGCGGTCTCCTCCTCAGCGTCTCCTTGATACACGCAACAAAGTATGGCAAGTTGGGCTCGTCATCGAATGTCGGCATCCGGTCCGGGCCCACGACGCTGTCTATTTCCGCTCTGACCTTCTCGAGGACGGCTGGGTGGCTGAGCATGAACAAGATGAAAGATTGCATCGTGCTGGCTGTCGTGTCGGACCCAGCTTCGAGGACGGTTGCTGCAGTGTAAGCAAGGAGCGTATCGCGGAGCCAGCCGTCTTCAGTGAGCCCGCATCCTGGAGCCTCGGCATGGCCGTTTTCGGCGCGCTGTTTGAGGTACGAACCGACATAGCAGGGTACCGAGTCGCCCTTGCTGATATCGGCTTGTATGTCGTCAAGGAGACCACCCCATAGTTCCATTTCCCTGGGTATCGCATCAACTTTTTATAAGTGGGATAATACAAATTCGCCCGCACCATTCATGCATCTTCCGGCCCTTGATTCGCCATGGGGCGAGGACGTCAGGGAGCTTGCGGAGAATGGGGAATGCATCTGCGCTATTATCCCGAGTGTTATGGAAGCTTTGTCGAGGCTAAAAATTGATGGACACATACAGGTAATTTCCTGGCTGTCCGACGGTAGTAAAATTGGCCAGGACTGCATAAATTTTATGTCTTCGTACAAGGGTAAGATTTGTGGAGAGTCACAAGTGAGCGATCTACGTACAAGCGATGATTGTTCAAGATCTTGTGCGCTCTTTTGCCGTATGTCACCGTCATAACGATGCTGGTTGTCTATTAACACTATTGTCAGTCTAAGAGGCCAGCGGAAGAAGCCAAAGGCTACTTACGTATCGGCGTATCAAAGAGAACCAGTGCTCTTCGGGGACAACGCCGTTGGACCCTTCTTTGAGGTTCTGTGCGACGCTGTAGTCGCCGTGCGAGAGCATGTCGTTCAGAAGGACACATGATTCAAGATGCTGGGATGGCCGTAGTTTCTTGGACGCCGTAGGCCCGATGGATGAATGCAGACTTTTTCTTGCGACCTTGGGGACAAGTTACGCGACCAGATACTGAAGTGGCGAGGAGCGGCGTACCTTCCATTCCCTGTCATAAGGCAAAAACACCAATCGTTGTCCTGCGCTCATGATATCATGTGCAACGTGTGGAGGTGAACGACTGGAAAAGGATTTGCTGCGATTCACAAAAAGCTCGTCAGCAGCTTCGGCGGTGTTCAAGACGATGACATCCTGGGGTCCGAGTCGAAGGTGATAGATGGGACCGTACTTCAAAGCCCATTCTCTGAACTAAACTTCATGAGCACTACAGCAGGATCAAACGTGTTTCTCCCTAGCTTACCTGGGGGTACGGTCTTAGCACAGGGACTTGGAATAAATTTCCAAAGAATGGAATTTTTGAGGGCCCAGGAGGGAGCGTGCGCGTGCCATTCTTTCGTGATTGGACAAATGCCACGAAGAGCGCTGACAGTATAAGAATGACGGTAGCTTCAGTTGTTGATAAGAACGCCATGTCTTGGAAGGGGCTGAAGACAGGGATGACATGCTATATAGCCGCTGACACGGGTAACGAATAGTCGGAATTACGCGTGGCCATTATGACCGCGTAAAAAGATATCCAGTGCACAGATGGCTGACGGTGACAGTGTGGTGGGTACTAGATTCGTCGGTTTTCAAGTGGATCCCCGTAATCGCGCCGGGCATGTGACCAATTCTGCCGATGTTCTCTCGCATGACAAAGCTCCTGCAAGAGAGTGGTGATGTTTTCCTGCCCGGTTTTCTGTCTTCCTTTCTCTTCGCTGGACAATGACGGAAGTAACTTACGGTATGGCAAAGGACGAGGAATCCACTTTATCTCCTCATCTTGATCTGCCAAACGCCAAGGAAGGGTCGATCTCTCCACAGCAAAATCCGCGAGATTATGAGCCTACAGACGGGGGTTTCAAGGCGTGGTCGACTGTATTAGGAGCGTCCTTAGTGGGATTATGCACTTTTGGGTACTAGATCCCTCCCCCGGGTATCCACCTAATAATTGACTTTTTTGCACAGTTTTGTAAACGCTTACGGCGCCTTCTCGGACTACTACAATGAAACATACCTGTCAGACTACTCGCCCACCCTTATATCCATGATTGGCGCTTTGCAAGTGTTTCTGCTGTATATCTGTTCGTGGGTCTCGCGCCCTGTCCTCCGAGTAGGTCCGTATTTTACCTCATGACCTCAATGCAGTTGCAGGGTTCGCTGGAGCTGTGTTCGACGCTCTGGGCCCGCGTCTTCTTGTACCTGGAAGCGGAATCGTTGTCGCGTTCTCGATATTTATGCTCTCGATCACAAAGCCTCAGAAGATATGGCAGCAATATTTGTGTCAAGGAGTCTTGTTCAATGTCGGTGCAACGTTTGGGTGCGTGGGCTCTCTATATCAAAGTCAGCTGTGCCGCCGCCTTACGAGCACATAAATTAAAGATAACAAAGGTTATCTTCTTTAATATGTCTCTATAGAATTTATCGTCATCCTCCCAGCTGACTTGCCGAGTTTGTGCCCTGATCTGACCTTCATTCATACTTAGATATTTCCCTTGCTTGGCTATCACTGCACATTGGTTCCGGCGTAAAAATGCGTACGCTACTGGGTGTGTCGCCGCAGGAGTCAGCGTCGGCGGGATTATAATCCCAATCATGATGCATCGGCTCCTCCCAAAGATTGGCTTTGGTAGGATTTTGTTCTCTACTCACTTGTGCTCTAGATCGCTGACTGCCCAAAAGGCTGGACGATTCGCATTATTGGATTTATCTGCCTCTTCTGCTACACCGTGGCGATGATCACGATCTACCCTCGTCGTCCCACGAAGCCTCTCCCTCCAATGTCCAGACTTTTAGATTTTGGTGCATTCAAGCACCCAACATACAGCCTCTTAGCAATTGGCGGATGGATATCCATCTTCTCGACATTCAATCCCTTCGTTTATGTGGGACTGTACGGTTCCGTCGCGTTTGGTGAATCCAAACTGACTTCGTATTACCTCGCAATTCTCTGTGCGGCTTCTATCGTTGGACGCGTCGGTCATGGACTGATCGCTGATCGCCTGGGAAGGTGAGTAAGAGTTTATTCGGGGGCTATATTGGGGACTCGGAAATCTGCATCGCTTGGTTGGGTCGATCATTTTTCGATCGGTGGTTAGTACTCGATCATAATAGGGGACATAACGACGTCATGCTACTCGCTCGTTTTCTCAACTTTTTTCATCCATCTGATGCGTTTCCTTCAGGTATAACCTTATATGCGCAGCAACGCTCCTGTCCTCCATCCTTATACTCGCACTCTGGTATACCTCTTCTACCGAAGGCGGTTTGGTCGCCTTTGCTGTTCTGTATGGATTCGCTTCCGGCCCTTTCTTCTCTCTCTTCCCCGTACTGCGTCCCTAAAAGTGAGCTTGCATCTCGATGGCTGACTAACTACTGGTAGGCTTGCGTGGCACAGATATCCCCCATCGAGCGCGTAGGCGCGCGCATGGGGATGATGTTCACATTCATGTCCATTGGGGCTCTTTCCGGGACACCTATTGGTGGTGTGTTCATTCAGACCAAGACGATTGAGAACTTTCATAGGTTGATATTGTTTTCTGTCAGTATGCGTGTTTTATGCAGTTTTCGGTGGCTGATGTGTTAGCAGGGCATCGTGGGACTGGGAGGATCTATGGTGTTGTTTCTAGCTCGGTTTAGCCTTCAGCGGAAGATCTTTGTAATTGTATAATGTCTGAAGCATTAGAAACGGAATGCTGATTTCTCTGCGTAGCCGTTGTGAAAAGAGCTGGCGTCATACTTTGTCTGTCTCCTCGATATCACCGAGGGAATTTTGAAGCAGTTGCATGGGTCCAAAATCCTTTAATCAGATAAACATGATCCGATCAAACACCGTCCTTTCACACCGTCTCTTGACCCTTTCAGCCCACTGTCCCACAATAACTCTGTCATTGGGCCTCATCTGCACACCTCGACTGTTTAAACTCGAGCAGTAACATTGCACATACGGCAACTGCCAACTGGATATACTAGAGGCAATGGAATTCTCAAAGCCTTGACATGTGTTGCCCGTCATTCCCACAAGTACGTCAAATTCGCGGAATTCCAATCCGAAGTAACAGCAGCTGATCATCAATGTGATTGATGCTTTCACGTCTTCTCAACACAACACAGCTAGCGTTCAGTCTAGCGCTCTTCCCAACTGACAGCCATGTCTTCTCCCGGCCAGTACGGACAGATTTCTTTCCCTCAAAAACTCAAGGTATTTTCTTTGGCAACGATCGTGCTGCGTATGTCCCCATTATCTTAATTCTGCTTGCTTTATTCAATCGATTTCCCAGCTCTCTACTCGCTATGGACAGTGATAACATATCCATTCTCCTCGACTCTACGGAAGAAAACGTTGAAACTTGCCGTATCCCATGCTCAAGCGAGATTTGTCACCGACGTACTCTCTGTCGCCGAGCTGCAGTTCATTTCAGGCCTCAGCGTCGATGTTTACAAGAAATGGGCAAAGAAGAATAAACAGCCGGTTGCTGTTGAAGATCTTCCAGAAGAAGGCGCGAGCCTTTTATGGATCGGCCCTAAGCGTACGGACAAGGTGATATTCTATTGCCACGGTACGCGACCCTTTCTTCCACAATTCGGAATATTTGACACCGAGTTCCTTTAGGTGGCGGGTACGTTGCACCATTCTGGGACTCTTTCCTAGCCTTCTGGAGGCACGCGCAAGTAGAACTAGAAGCCCGGAACATACAAGTCGGGATCGCTCTCATGGCCTACAGTGCGTGTAACCCAACCCAATCTAGTTGACCGCTTTTAACGCCAAAGCAGATCTCATCCCCCCGGGGAAATTCCCAAGCCAGCTACGCGAAGCCAAATCCGGGCTCGAGCATCTCTTCAAAGCAGGTGTCAAGCCGGAAAACATCCTGCTTGCCGGAGACTCGGCGGGAGCGAACCTCGTCTTGCAGGTCTTCTCACACATCCTCCACCCCCTCGCTTCTATCGAGCCTATAAGCTTCCCCCCAGGGTCCCCCCCTCGGTTCCTGGGCATGTACCTCTCATCCCCATGGGTCTCTCCCAGTGGTGATATCGGAATGGGACCCGCGATCAATAACAAGAAGGACGTCTTGGGGCCAAAGACATACCGAGCGTGGGGAAAATTTCCCCTCCAGGATGTCCCAGAAGCGGATCTGCCGTTCATGGAACCGGCCAAGGCGCCGAAGACGTGGTTTGTGGGTATCGAGAAGATGGTGGAGCACATCCTTGTCACGTCGGGCGAGGCGGAGTGTATCACCGAGTCGCATGTGAAGTTCTATGAGGAGTATCTGAAGGAGAAGCACTCTGATGTGAAGTTTGTCGTGCAGAAGGATGGGGTGCATGATAGTGTTTTGTTTGAGCTCGCTTTGGAGAAGCGGCCTGTGCAGGAATTGGCGGGGGTGGTCGTGGATTGGGTGGCGGATACGTTTGGAGAGACATGAAATGCTGGAATGGTTGGTTTCGTTTGAGCGGTGTCTGCTTTGCATGTTGAACATTTGTAAATTTGTGTTGGTATAAGGTTTATATTGTTTGCCCCTACCTGTTATTCAGTTTTCTTTTGCGACGCGCTCTGTCACTTTTATAATTGTTTGTATACACGTTGACAGTCTAGGGTGGTCTTGTAAATGAGAAAAGAAACATCGGACTTTCCATAAATCAAGGTTTGGGGCGTCAAAGCCACTCTGATATTCCAGAAATAGCCTTTAAATGCCTGTAGATAGATAGTCGGCATTAAGTGCAGAATAGAAGTGAGATTACGAGCGGAGGGTAGGTAAGGTTGACTGCTGGCTCTGCCTAATAGACTGTAGCTACTTATATACTACTATGTAGATGAAATATAATGGTAAGGTACAAGGCAATAGGAACAATATGAGTAAGAAAAGACTACACCGCTAAGTCAACAGTGACACAAAATCCCCTACACACCATACATGAACTCCAGTCACCTGCATCCTTCTGTCTTGCATGCCTGAAGGTACTGTGCCGTGTAACGATGAAATGAGATATGTTTACAAATATCTTCTGTTGAAGGCTTTGAAAAGTCGCCTTACGGAACGGAACATACTTGCGGTGATCCCCTTGAGACTTGGAGCAGATGAAGACGCACCTCCGGTGATATCATTCGCCGTCAGAGCGAAAGACAGATGAGACGCGAAAGATGCGATGAGTAGTCCTCTTTGTGATGTTCCTGAATCAAGTCCGAGTCGTGAAATAAGGTACGGATCAAATCCTCCATTCCAATGAGATGATATTTCTGGCATTTTTACGTGCATGTGTCTAGTATGTGCCGTGCTGCCGTTGCAGTTTATCATGTTCCACGACGAGACGCATTCCTACATGAACCTTGTGTGTGTATGCGCGAATGAGCCTTGGTTTTGAATGGCATGTTTAGAAATGTAATCTCTGTTTTGGTGCTACGCATCACTTCATCCTTTGTTCTGTTTATCGTCGTTATTTTTGAAATTAGCTGGCGAGGCACTTATGTCACTTGCAGAATGCAGGAATGAATGTTTTGAATGAATGATGCTTTGGAGAAATCGTATAGGTGGTAGTTGACCTTTTGCACCTGGGAGCGCTGTCCTCGCGTGCTCCGTTCGAGTGCCCCGTTCGGAAGGTCGGCCCGGAGTACAGCCTAGTTTGGAATTCGATCAACTGTCGGGGCCCGAGGGTTTCTTGTCCTCTCACTGTCATCATGGACTCCTCCGCCGTTAACGCCAACGTCAGCGTCGACGACTTTGACAGCATTCTGCTCTACTCCCCCGACGAATCCGTATGGACCACACCAGATCCTTCAAGTTCCGACTTCGATGCCGCTTCGAGCCAATGGTGGATGGGAACGTACCATGCGACGGAAACAATAAACGCCTCAGTCAGCCTCAACTTTACCGGTATGGCCTATTTTTTCTTGGTTGCTTTCTGAGCGGTTACCGAAGGGGGGGGGGGGGGATTTAGGGCCGGCGATTTACATCTACGGCGATTCTGGCCCAAATTACGGATCGTACGAGGTCACGATTGATTCGAACACGACGACTTTGAGCGCGTATTCCTCGAGTAACGCATCCGTGCCGTATCTTTTGTACGGAAATGGCGCTCTGGAGTATGCCAACCACTCGTTAACCCTTAAGAATGTCGGAGCGAAGGGTAGCGACAGCGGCGGAAACGGGTTTCTATTTGACTTTCTCCGGATGACCGTGCAGCTTGCGCCTAAAGGGTGAGTTGGTTTTTATATGCGAAATCTTTTGTTAGCCTACGAATCACACAACAGAGCGACAGTCACGAATACGACCCTCCAAGAGACTGACTCTTCGATTACGTATACAGGCGAATGGGGGAACAATACCTCGACCGCCTTTAGTGGAGGAGGCTCAAAATACACGAATGGGAACCTAGCCTCCTTCTCACTGGACTTTCACGGCGAGTCGCCATTGGTCCTTTTCTCTTCTACCGTGGCTTGGCTTGGCTGATGGTACTGGCCGTTTTTTTTTTAGGATCAGCTATCTACGTCTTCGGCGACAAGAAGAACGACCATCGAGAGTACAACGTCTACCTCGACAACGGGACCGCGCAGACGTTTAATGGCACCTCGGGCTGTGGAGGAGCCTTTGGACAGACGTGCGAGCAGCAGGAGCCCTGCCTGAAGTTCTTCGCGTCCAATCTTGATGGATCCGTGCATTCGCTGAGGCTCGAGAACTTGGCCGGGGTTAACCAGTCGTATTTTGGTGCTGCGATCTTCTTACTTTATACCTTTATGACGACGAGCTGACGGTCAGAGGAACAGATCTAGACAGTATTGTTTTGGCTGTTCCATCGGAATATGCTCCTCGAGAGTTATCGGACTCATCCGCATCAAGCAGTGCATCCGTGACATCCTCGTCGTCGGCTTCCTCAACTTCGACCAGTTCTTCCAACGGTACCGTCCCGCTCGTCTCGTGGAATCCAATGCTGCTCCTCTTCATGGCGTTTATCTACTTGTTCAAGACACGACTCCACTAAACTTTTTATCATTTGGGCTTCTTCTTAACTTATATCACCCACCAAGACGCTGTATTCCATCAATTTTAGCATATAAAAAGATCAGGGATTCTCTTTGTTTTCTTTCTGTTCGGCGATCAGGACAAGTTGTTTAGTCCATTTTGCATGTTCCCTACCTACCTACTATACGCCCAGGACTTGGTATTTAGTCTCTTATTGTGTTTTCCTTTTACGCTTTCCCGCGATCTTTGCACTGAAGTATACCCACGATCAAGCATAGATAGATACCAGCAAACTGCATTGTCTTTTCCAACCGAGCACTGCTGATGGGGCTTCAGGATGAGCAGACCCACCCAAATCATACGAGGTTCCCAGAGCCTATGTGCGAGCAGATTCTGAATAACCTCCTACATAGAACCACTTCCTGAATCAACGACGCTATGTTCGCAGGCCTCTCTGCCTGCCTCGGGATGGACATCTCATGGCCATATATGAGGGAAGCCTGGATCTGAAACCACCAAAATCGATTTCGCCAGCGCGCTCACAGATACCAAACTCCATCATCAACCAACCCATACCCCCTCCCAACCTATGTATTACTAATATAGAGTACGAATGAACATTGAGGCCCATGTAACGAATACAATTTAATTACACCTTGATAAGGCTACATAATCAGAGGGTATCTAAAGTGTCCCCTCGAGAGATATCTATTCCACCCACCCACCCACCTACTTACATACGATCTGAATCATACACCCGCACTGCCCGGCCGCGGCAGCTCTCCAAACGTAACCTTGTTCCGCGCATCTTCAGCCATCATCATCCTCGGCGTGCTCGCCCCACTTGCACGCTGCTGCTGCTGCTGCTCCTCATCCACGAAGCGTATAGACCGCGACGGCGACGCCTCCCTCGACGAATGCATCGCCCTCACATCGTCGACCCTCGGACGCTGACGCTGCTGCTGCTGCTGCTGCTGCTGCTGCTGCATGGACTCTCTCCCCCGGCCTTCCCGGGCCACAAAGTGCCCCGCCAGGCCGCGTCGTATCGAGGCTCGCCGCCTCTTCGTTCCAGGCTTCGCCGGAGCCTTTATCCGGGGCGATTTCGACCGCTTCCGTCTGTCCACAGTAGCCGTCGCGGGCCCAGCCTCAGCATTACTACGGTCCGATGCCCATCCCTCTTCCTCTTCTTCTTCTTCTTCTTCCTCCTCCTCCTCCTCCTCGCCTTTTGGCGGAAGACCGCTCCTGCTAGCAGCCTTGGACACTTCATGCTCAATGTTGCGCGCGACGACCTTAGAGGACCTATCTGCCAGCCGCCCAAGTAGAGCCTTGACTTCACGGCGGACAGAGCCGTCGTGCCCCGCAGTGCGAATAGTGTGAGACTCTTCTTCTCCTTCTCTGCCTGCATTCTTGATAACCTCGACTTCAACCTAAAAAAAAAAAAGGAGAAGCAGTCAGTCGCCTCTCAATGAGTCAGTCATTCACAATATGCTCATACCTCCTCGCCGGGCCCAGCACGCCGTTCGATGACTCTGTGTGGACCTTCCTGCCACTCATAAACAGTCCCCCTTCCATCAGGAGGCTCCTCGCCTTCCGGCATATGCAGCGAAGCCTCCGTCTTCTCCTTCTCTTTGGCCTTTTGAACGACGTCCATCTCCATCCCCACCTCGCCTTCATGCTCCACTTCCATCTGCGACAACGTCGGAGGCGCGCTGTCATCACTCGGCGAGCTTCCCACCTCAGTCTTCTCCTCCGGTGTCATTTCCCCTCGTTCCATGTCATCCACCTGATCGCGATTAACGACAATATCCTCCCGCCTATCCACCATCCGTGCCTGGTTCGTCCAATCAGGCATCGTGGTGTGTCGAGACCACGTCCGCGATACAGTATGCACGCGACGACCAAGAGAAAAGGACGGAATCGACAGACCGTGGATGGTGATGGAGCACAGAACCATGAACGCTACAATCGGCTGGATGGTGTCCATGAGTAATTCATTCTGATGGCTGGGGTTGTCGCCTAGCTTATCACGCAGAACCTGCGCAGCAAGCGTCGATATGAACACGGCACCTGATAGAACTATCGTTAGCGGGCAAAAAAAAAAAAAGGAGATTAAAAAAAAATAGGATAGATACCAATTCCAATGGGCCCAAAGTGTCCACTAAAGACAGCCTCGCGGAACGTCTTAATACCTGGAATCCACCTGTACAGCGCCATCATGACTGGGAGCCTTCTGAGAAGGAGGATGAGAATGGCAATGACGATCAAACGCCACACGCTGAGGGTGAGTTCTTCATTAGCGAAATCGCTAAACGGCATCCACGCGCCCACAAAGACAAACGCGGCAATGTTAAAGAGCAGGTCGATGACGGAACTAAAAACAGACTCTTCCGTCTGTCGGTTGAAGAAGCCATCCCACGCGAACGCAGTGCCGCAGGCAAATGCCGACAAGAGGTCATCTGAGCCGAGAAGAGTGGTCACCCCAGTGGCGAACATGGCGAGTGAGACATACTGGGCAACATACGAATGTCGATCTATGAGATCGTGTCGTTCGCAAAATTTCATTAGGTGCCTGAAGCCGAAGCCAAGGCAGGAACCGATGACGACGCCAAGGACGACCTGATCTGCTTTAGTGTAAGAAGACAAGAAGGTGCGCCCTGAAGTATGGAGATCACGTACAGAGCCACAGGAGAAGGAACCAATCTTTGATAGCTTTCCCGGTGTTGGGGGCGTCAATGACGAGGTAGAGAGCGATATAGAGGAAAGGGAAAGCGGCACCGTCGTTGCAACCACTCTCTGCGGCCAAGAGATGTCGGATATGAGCGGGGACGTGTTTGTCGGCATATTTCCCACCGACGACAGCGGCTGCGAGAATGGGGTCCGTTGGCGTGAGACACGCGGCGATGGCGAGAGAAGACAGAAAATTAAGGCCTGGAATCAGGGCGTAAATGAGACCGGCGGAGACGAACCAGCCCTAGAGACTTGTTAGACAAAGACGAGAAGCGAAAAAAAAAAAAAAGTGAACGCACCCAGGTCATTACGGGAGCCAAAAGGAAGAAAAGGCTTTTCCAGTGGCGTCGCATGTACGCTTTGGGCAACTCCACCCCTATGGCAAAGACACCTATTGCGAGGACAACCCTGGTGAACTCCAGAACGATAGTATTGGTCGAATCCTCGTTGCCCCAGGCTCGGGGGTTGAATATCCCTGCGCCGTATGGACCTGAAAGCGAAGCAGCACCTTGAGCCACCGCGCCAAGAGTAGGAAAATCAAGCTGAACACACACCGATAATGACACCGAACACAAAGGCCCAACATGCTTCTCCGATATACAGCTGCGGGTCGACGTCGGTGACGAAAACGGAGGAGGGGAAAGTTCGTGATACACACACACACACCTTTTCACGGAGAAACAAAGAAAACATGCCGAACTGGAACAAAGGTCAGCACCAGCTTGCAGTCGTGAGACAGTCACTCACCAGCACGATGAACCCGCCAAGACATGAATATATGACATGTGGTTTCGTCACCTCAAACTGTATAGCACGATGAGCGGTCGACCAACAACGTCGGTCGGACAAAAGGAATCGCACGCACAGGGTAAAAGCCCATGACGTAGGGACCGCGTGCACTCCTCCGGGGCACCTAATAGCGAAATTGGCTCAGCCTGGGCAATGGCGAGCAATGAATGACTAAAGGGCGTGAAACTCGTTGTCTAGGACGACGACGAGAATGGTTGATGGCGGCAAGACGGAAGATTATAGAGGTCCGGCTCTGCGGTTTTTTTTTTGCAAATTGGGGGAACTGACGTCGATCGAAGCCTCTGCTTGGCACTGGGAGGACGGACCGGAGTTCCACCAAGACGGACGGACGGGCAAACAACGAGCAGCGAGCAGACAAGAACTGGTCGGTCGGTGTGGGATTTTTTGGTTGGGGGGTGGGGGGGCTGTCAACGGACCTCGGTGTATTAGTAGTATTCGCCCTGAAAGACCTTTCGTAATCCTCAGTGAGCAACGGTATCGGCATGGTGTTCTTTTTTTCATTTAAAAGGTCCTTTTCATTCATCATTTAATTTTCTAACAGTGTCTGTATTTACTGTTCTCCCGCATGTGAACATCCTTATGCAGCCTCATTTCCCCCTGGGGACGCCACTTTACCTATAGGTTGTGTCGTTCTTCGATAACACCTGATCCTTCCTTATCATTCGCCATCATCAAGTTCTTCTTGGCCAGTCGCCATCAAACGGTATAGCGGTACCGATAGGATTACATCTTGGCATCTGAACTAGGACCCTCAAATCAAAGGCCAAGCAAGGTCCGTGTAAGACCCTGCAACAAGTTGCCATAGGTGCGCCTGTAGATCGCGCTTTTCGAGTGAAAACCACGCCTCTCACGAGTTACTCATGCCGCCTGATGTTCTTTGCATTTTCAAACGTGTTTTACAGTCGCAGTCTACCGATAAGAGGACTCGGCACGCCAATGCGGTGCAGTCAATTTGTCAAATAAACGCAAAATTGGGAGCAACACCACTAATAACTCAGCACTCCAACGACGTGAAACACCTTCTGAGGACGAACACGAGGTTCGAAAGAATTTCTTTATAAAAAGAAAAAAAATTAAATCCAGCCATCTGTACAAAAAAAGGCCGGCTGTACTTATCGATGGTCGGAGCTTCTGTCTTTCCTCCGCGAATAGGGCCTTTTTGAGAGATCAGCGGAATGTGGCGGACTACGGCTGGTACCACGAGTTTGTTTGGGCACCAAGGCGGGTAGGCACTAGTGCGAAAAAGCTCCTCAGTCGGACCGACCTCGAAAAATCCCGTAATTTACTGGGGTCATGATCCTCCTTTACGAGATAAAAGTGTGCTTTTGGTACGCAGTAGCTCTGCGGCTGGCGCCAATACGCAGCTGGATGGAAAAAGGGGCATCATGAACAACTAACTGTGAAGGGACGAGAGGCACGAGTTCCTGCGCCGCCGGGAAGCTTGTCAGGAAGGCAGCCATGGTGACTAAGCGCCTTCATCGTCCAGCGCTTTTCCGAGCTTGGAGGGGCAAAAGAGGCCAAGCTCTCGTTAGCTTCTCGCGTCTAAAAGGAAATCCAACGGAATACGGAGTTCCTTAGTTGGTTTGGTAATGGAGAATCAATGTGTGCGGGGGTTGTAGATGAAGTACTCGTACGCTCTCGCAGGGGTGGGAAAGGCAAGCTGTTTAGAATAACCAAAGATCGCTCTAAAACCATTTTCAACTCTTAGCGATATCGAAAAGAATACAAGTGACACTACTCACCTGTGTTCCGGTATTGTACGTCAGCTGTTTCAATGATTCCCATTATGCATGCTTCAATTCAAAGGCATTTCCGTCTTCTAGCGCGGCAGCCTTCCTGAGCTTCCATTACTGCGGCCAATCCGATACGAGTCATCGAACTCAGCACCAGTCGAGCGCAGTTCAAGTTCAAGGTGCGCAGGCCCTGGTATGATGGAATCGAGTCATAAAGATCATGACTAGCCCGAACCAGTAATGGGCCGAGGAACTAACCTCCCAACTCCGGATCCTAAATAAAAACGTAGAAGACGACCCAGCATGCGCAGAACCAATCCCACACACGATGTTCACGACTGAGCGTCTTTATCTACGCGCCTTCAGGGACTCCGACTTGGAGTCCCTCCTCAACCTCTGGAACGACCCACTCGTTCAGCCAATGATTACGAACGAATACATCTGTCCGCGCGGAAGCAGATTTGCCGAATTCCTCCGCAAAGCGGCTGATTCAGAGAAGAATACCCTCTGGCTCATCGTCAAGGCACGCGATTCGGGAGAATTCGTGGGACAGACAACGTTAACGGTGGGAAATCATAAGAATCGCGATGGTACATTCGGTGTTATGCTCTTGCCCAAGTTTTGGGGTCAGGGGTATGGGACTGAGGTTACAAAGTTTGTCGTGGACTATTCGTTTAGAGAACTGGCGCTGCACAGGGTTTCTTTATCGGTCTTTGAAAGGAACAAGAGCGCTATCAATTTGTATAAGAGGATGTAAGTTTTTCGTCGAACGGAGCATTAAGTTCGGGACTAACCAAAATTGATACGCAGGGGATTTCTTGAGGAAGGTCGAAAGCGGAAGGCCAATTGGGTTCATGGAGGATGGGAGGATATTTTCTTGATGGCAATATTGGATGAGGAATGGGAGGTACAACGTGTGACGTTAAAATTAGGTTGACGAAATCCAATCCAAGTACTGAATGCATATGATTTGGGCTGGGCCCACGGGGCACATAAGACCCCGAGATGAAGATCACAAGAGTACAATGAAAGACCGAAATGCGTTTCCGGAGAAAGGAACAAAAGGAAATATGCTCAGGGCCGAGACCGCCAAGATTTCAGACGAGCTGATGCATCGGAATAGACTGAGCGTATCAAGCTAGTCATGAAAGGGTGTACCATACGCTTAGCAAAGGGCTTGTAGGGAGAAACCCTACCTTTGACGGGTAGGAACCAGCCCAGCCTGGCAATCTCGGTTGGTACGTGGTAGTGGCCACCTCGGTCGACATCTTATTAGTCATGCGTCTTTATCAACAATGAAAACGCGTTGAGTAAAATTCAAAAATCGACTTGCCTGAGATTAAAGTACGGTCACCATGAAAAAAAAAAGGCAGGGTTGAGATCTTCAGCTTTGTCGCTCTGACGCGATGCTCGTCGCCGTCGTCCGAGTCGCTCGAGATGGATGGTCTCGAATTATCCGTCTAAGGCCGCTCGACGATTCATTCCAGTATACAAGTATGCAAAAGGTCCGCGGACACACCCGCAACATCCGCCGTTCCTCTTGGCATCAAATGCACAAGCGACAGTGATGACTTCCCCAAAATAAGCAAATAGATTGTCTTGATTGCTTTCTCCGTCTTTCGGTGGGCAAGCGCACCTCAAACACAGATATGCATATAATCATCCCAGAGTCAGCACGAAACTTCAGCAAGGCGAGCGAGTGATGAGGTAGTAGCTCACTGCTTCATGGACGACGACTGATGATGACCAAGTTACAGAGTTGCATACGACGGTGTTTTCTCCACAATTAAATCCGTGTAGCGCTGGTAGAAGGGCCATTCACGTTCTCGGGCACCAGGAGCATGCGTATTTTCACTATACCCGTTACACGGCCATTTTAAGCGACCTTGTCACCAGCCAACAATCGACCATGGCGGCAGCATTGAGTTGAATGAGTGCGCCGAAGCAAAAAGGTAGATCCTGGGGCCCCGAGACCATAGTTGCTATTTGCCACGCCGCTATGACGAGGCAACGGGGTTGCTCCACGACGGGGTCCCAGTCCGGTCCCTCATGCCATTGTGAAGCTAACAATGACAGGAGCCGGGAGAAGTCGCTACTTCCTAGGGCTGCACCAAACTGGCACTAATCTCCAAGGGAAGGTGACCCGGCATTGAGTTGGGAAATCGACGGTGCAAAGGAGGTTTCGTTTTGACCCGGAAGATAGAAGACGATAGCATCGATCCCCGGGGCATAAGTATGTTGTGGTCCGTAACGGTGGAAGGAAATCTTTGTCTTTAAATGCCAGACGGCGGTCTGGCGTGGAAACTGATGAGTATGCAATCTCTGTGTGTTTCCATCCGTACATAAGCGCATATATGCTGACTTGTGCACTCCACCAGTAACGTTTTTGCCTCGTAGCAGCAGTATGCCATCCAGCAGTGGGGTATGACATGGATCGCCTAGCCACCAATCCCAAATGTCCTTGATGCATTCCATCCTTTGCCAAGCTCGAAGTCGATACCGTCCTCGAAGGCTCCTTGGCGACTCTGGTGAGGCGAAGCGCTGCTCAATACGTCTTGGACAGGAGAAAAAAAACAGAGAAGGCCAGACATCATTGATAAGGAAGACAGCAGTGGTGAAAGAGTCGGGAAGACGATGGTCGAGATGGTCGAGATAGGGAAGCAAGGACGGAAAGAGATACAGTTAGGACTCGGAGTGGTATTTATACCTCGGAACTGCCCTACAAAAATGCGTGACCTGCTAAACGCGTCGCGCCTGACTTCCCTCGAGCACGTGTGCGTTTCCAACAAAAGCTTGAGATCAAACTGACGAGAGCGGTTCGATTCGCCAACAGGGATAACCAGACACTCGGTACCTGAGAAGGACATGTAAGCACCATAATAAATGAAAAAGAGATTGGCAGACTATACGATCCATCGTCAAACAATAGCTGCATAAACTCTAGCTTACTCCAGCGTCAGATTTTAGTTATCAAAATCTGTCCGTTGAGGAGGCAAATAAAGAAAAATAAAGATCCACACTAATGTAAAACGAAAATTGCATTGCATTGCCTTGATATCCCTTGAATTTGGGCATCGCCTGAGGTATCGATGAGGGATTCATGAGAAAGAAAGCTTAGGTGGCTGCGGAGGAACGTAAGGGAGGGTGTTCGGTCCGGTTGCCGAGTTACTGCAAGCGTCTATTCAAGCGTCTGCGGTGTCCAAGCCAGAGAGTTGAGCTCTTAAGCGCTTACGTCTCACATGTCTCATTCTACATTATCGACTGGCAGAACAAAACGTGGTGAGCGGAAAGAAGGAAGCATGCCGCCAAGGGCAATACCATGAGCTCATAACAGAAACAAATACATTAATTCCCCGACAATTTGATATTTTCTCGCTTGATCTCCTACTTATTTGCTTCCCTTGTGCTGCTAGATTTTACTGCGGCCTTACGGATAGACCGCCTATCTCGTCATGAAGGTCGCTGTCGTGGGTTCTGGTGTCGCTGGTCTCGCAGCTACCTGGGTATTGTTCCCACCTCTGAAACTAGTTGCTGTCTGACTTTTCTGTATACAGGCATTGAACGAGTACAGCAACCACGAAGTTCATTTATACGAAGCAGACGAACGGCCTGGTGGCCATGCCAATACAGTCCCGTTTGGCTACAAGAACAAGGATGGATCGAGGCAGACGGTGAAAGTCGATACGTGTGTCAGTTTCAAGTCTCATTTGAGTGTCTTCTTACGCGTTTTTACAGTGGATTTGTATATGCCTCCAACCCTTTCTCGTGAACAGCGGCTAACAGTTCGAATAAGATTGTTCTCAACCCGTCTACGTACCCCAACTTTCTGAGATTCCTCAAGTTACATCCTTCGGTGGAAATCATGCCAACGGAGATGACATTCAGTGTAACTCGGGACAATGGGAAGTTCGAATGGGCAGGCAACAACCTTGCTACACTGTTTTGTCAACCTTGGCGACTCTTGGACCGGAATATGTGGCGGATGGTATACGACATACTGCGGTTCAATGCCAGTGCAAGGCGGCTTGTGTCAATGTGGAATAAGCAGAACGTTGACGCATGGGAGGACTATTCCATCGGCGAATACCTGGAGTGGGGCTCCTACTCTGATGCTTTTCGCGACAACTACTTGATTGTAAGCCTCACTACTTTTACCTTGGGTAATCGACGGTCTGGACGATTGACTGACGGCATTCCATGTAGCCCATGACCGCCGCTATATGGAGCACGCCACCGGATAAATGTGCTCTTGATTTTCCCGCTCGAACTTTGGTACATGGCTTTCCTGCTTTGCGTTCGACTCGCTCACGCACCCCACTAGATCCAATTTATGCATAATCATCATCTCCTTCAACTCACCGGCAAGCCATCTTGGCTGACCTTCAGAAATGGAAGGTGGGCGCCTCCTTCTTTAGTTCTATCCACTATCTCAAACTCTTCCAGTCACGCCTACGTAAATGCCATTCTATCCAAACTTCCTTCATCGCAGTTACATCTCGCCGCTGCGGTTAAATCGATCAGGACAGGATCTAGGATAATACTAACGACTGAAGATGGCAGAGAGGAATCATACGATCACGTCGTCATGGCCTGCCATTCTGATGCTGTGCTTTCAATTATCAAAGCTGGGGGTAGTATGCAGCCAAAGGAAGAAGAGATTTTAAGGATGTTCAAATGGAATAAGAATGAGACTGTCCTACATTCAGACTCTAAAGTTTGTCGTCTTAACCCTTGTCGTCACCCCCATTTCTTACCTTCCCTCCAGCTGATGCCTAGGAGCAACATCGCCTGGTCCTGTTGGAACTATCTGACTTACTCCACCGTAGATCGAGACGGAGAAAGAAAAGCTAACGTTGACCAAGTGTCCATGTAAGCCGATATCGTCTATTATGCTGTATCCAGTCGCTAATCCTGCCCTTCAGAACGTGTACGTGTGTTCTTTGCCTTCCTTGCCTGGCATTTCACCCCTCACCGAATCTTTGCAGATGGCATGAATGCGGTTCAGCATATATCGAAGAAAAACGTTGGTCCGGTTCTTGTAACGCTCAATCCTCCATTTGAGCCCAACCCTACCACTGTCCGTGGACGATGGCACTACCACCACCCGGTTCTCGACGGAGATGCTCTCCGCGCACAGAACATGATGGCATCGATACAAGGCACTCGGGGTATAACGTATGCCGGCGCCTACTTGAACTTTGGCTTCCATGAAGACGGGTTCACGTCTGGACTCCTTGCGGTCCGAGATCTGGGCGTATGTCTGCCGTTTGAGCTGGAGTTTGTGGAAGGGAGCGTCTGGGAGACCTCCGTGAAAAAGGAGAGAACCAAGGATTGGACCGTGGAGTGGGCGGCCGCGTTCTTTGACCTTTTGCAAGGGTTCGGGATTAGATATGTTGTTGGGAGGATATTGGGGTTGATCCTTGGGTATTGGCTGTGGTTACTAGGACTCTGTGGTATCGAGTTCGATTTCTAAGTTTTTAATATCGGCATCTTCCTTTTTATCATCTACTCTCGATTTGCTCTCAATAGTTTCCATTCACGTTTTATAGTGCATAGCTTTCTGTACGGTAATTTCTTAGGTACGTTGACGATTTGATAGGATCACTGGATAAATTGATTCTGATGGGTATATTATCATAAGAGTATATTACTCATCCGGTATCCTCAAATATTGCCATGCTTGTTTCTTTCGTCGCAACTCCTGTCAGCGGAACGACGTGAGTTCAAGAGAAGCCGAAGAACAAGGATATGCACTGTAACAAATTAAGGGCAGAAAGTGTGTGTGTACGTCTGACCAAGAGCAGAGTTACGATCAGCAGCGTAGTCCGTTGAGTAAGAGTACGCTTGATCAGCGGGACATGAACTCGAAGTCCATGTCACGCTAGTTCCGTCTGAGCTGGCCAGCTTCGTATTAATGTTGATGGCCAAATTGACACGGCTCAAATCCCAGGACGTTCTCCCTCCGCCGGAGGATCCAAAGTTTGCATATCCGTACTCTGAGACGATCACACCGGAGTTGAGACCAGCGTCTGTGCATACCATGCCTGAGGGGAGTCAATGTTTAGTAAGAGGGGGGAGTCTGAAGGAATAGAAACTGGGGACGAACCTCCGACGCATCCGCCGGTAGCGCAGCTCGCGCCATTGGAGTTACAGCCTGTACGTCCCCAGGCACGGATCCCCTGGAGCGACAGCGGTTAACGGCGTGGAGAAGTAAACGGTTTAGGGTACACGTACGAGGGCGTAGTCGTCAACACTGAAGCTAGCAGATGCTCCCGACGCTAAAGTCGTCCCAAAAGAGACAGAGGTGTCGGGAACACCGTACGGGGCCTTCCCAACAGCAGGCCAGACGGCTGTAGAACAATGATGAGTTGTGCATTTGCGCTGGCCTGGCCTAGGCATGGCTTACTGTAGCTGCATTTATTCTTGAAGGTGATTGTGAAGGCGGAGGTCGACGAGATGAGCGCCACGAGGAAGCCAAAGGAGAGCGCCACGTTCTTCATGGTGTGGAATGCGAATGTACAGTAGTACTGCTCATTGAAGCCTTGGACACGTCTAATAAATACTCTCACCTATGAAACATCCACACAATATGCCAAATCAACGGGGTTTCAGAAGTAACCGGCATCAGCGACGAGCTTGAAAATTTATAATTGAATTGCATCGATGCTAAGGCACCCACATGAACACTAGTCTCGAACTCACCATTTCTCGGGACGCGATCAAGATGGGCAACAAAATTGGATGCGACCGGGGCGCGATCTCTGCGCGAGCAGTGAGTTGGTTGCCGCCATCGTGACGTCAGGAACAGGGCCTGAGCGGAGTCGTTGAGGGTGGCGGCGTTGCGAAGGCAACAGGTACGAATACGCCAGAAAAGCCTTCTGGCTTGGGCCTCCAAGGGTACTGTGAAAATGCTGTTGTTGTCATGGTCATGACAACTTCCCTTGGTGTCTGACCGTCTATTTTTTCTTTTTTTTTGAACGGTTGTTTGAGCGAAAGTGGCACCTGTCTTCGATGGCGACTAGAAGCAGGAGCGCGTTTGAATATACCCTTTTATTCTGATACCACTGCAGTAGCGCAGAGCTTGAGTGATTTACAACGTTCATTGACTAGTCTACTAGAGAGCCGAAGGTAAGCAAGGTAAAAATGGCATGATAATTGAACCATACCCCATTGGTACTCCGAGTCTCAGGTGCTGCATGCGGGTTAGGACCATGCATACTACAGTCAATATCGAAAATGATTTGAAATATAGATCACTGCAACACCAACGTTGAAACAACGCACTAAATGCGGTCATAGACTCCGAGAAGGATGCGTACAGGAATTCGCTGCGGGAGACTTATTTTTTCGTGCAAAAAAAGAGAGAACAGATATGAATAAATGAGTTACTTGAGGTTCAACGAGATAATGTTTGAGAGATATTGGCGACTCACGTCGAGAGCAGGCACGGGACCGTTATACAGAAGAGTGACGTGAGTGGCAAGCACGGAATTCGGCCCGGCATAAATTTAAAATCCCGGCCCAAGATCTCCCCGTCTTGCTCTTTTGCTTTTTCAACCCTTCTTTCCCGTCGAAGCCATGCAGCTCAAGCTTCGAACAAAAATACCTTCTCACTACTAGCTTTATATCGAAATCGCCGAGCCGGGTGGCCCTAATGCCCTGGACGAACAGCCATTCGAACACACTTCAAGTTGGCGTCAACACCCGTTCATACATCTTTCAATTACCCTTTTAAATAGTTCTGGAGCTCACGGCCTCGCCACGTCCTTCAGTTCTCATAAAGGAGTCGATGCCTTTCAAACAAGACTGTTCGACTGCGGTGATGAAATCATCAATGTGAGCGGAGAGCCATTGACGAGAGAGAGTTGATGCAGTTGATGCAGTACCGTGAGTAAGATCAGAGATCCATAATGGCCTTCTGTCTCAATAACGAAGGGCGAGCATGATGCGATGATACTTAACCGGCCACATACCAGTTTCCGAAAACAATATTGCAACGGGCGAATGCTTGGCAATACCCAGTAAGCGACGAATAAACAGGTTCTCTCCAGTTGAGCGAGCAAGGTAGAGTCGATGCAAGCAAGGATCAAGTGTGGCATATAAATAGAGATCCCATCTTTGATGGTTGGGGGGAGGGATGGTACCTGCAAAGTTCTCGGCGCCGACTCAACAGGACGTTAACTAACTTCCGGCTCTGGAAGCTTTCTTGTAATGATGCTCTTTAAAAATAGACCTGGGGAAGAAGAAGGACACTCAGTGGTGCTAGGCATGGTTCCGTCGGCGCCATCTTTTGTGCTGCTACTGCGCTCCCAGTCACGACAAATTACGCTGAGGTACCACTAATCACGCTGTGGAAAAGGGTAACCTTTTAGCCCTCCATAATTTTGTACCCTTCTCGCTGGGAAGGAAATGTTGAAATATACCCGGTGGAGGTACAGCTTCTCAGGCTCTCTTGTCCAGGTCCTTCCGCTCATTCATCTGGATTCATCTGCTGTTTCAGTACTCAGTAATATGGAGATAGGAACGGACGTTTCCAGTATTTTGGGGTCCCATATGGGGCTAATTTGATTGCCAGTGGTTCTTACGGCCGGACATTTGTCTCTGACTTCCCAGTGGCCTGCTCGGTGTGTGTCCTGCCATTTTTCACGAACATGTACTTTACCTACCGTCTGTCCGGCTCAGTTCTCAGTTTATTGGTTGTTGGATGCGCGGATTACTGACCTGTGTAGCACCGGCTTGAGCCTAACAGACGGGGGTTTCAAGGCGTGGTCGACTGTATTAAGAGCGTCCTTAGTGGGATTATGCACTTTGGGGCAGTCAGCGATCTAGAGCAAGTGAGTAGAGAACAAAACCCTACCAAAGCCAACCTTTGGGAGGAGCCGATGCATCATGATTGGGATTATAATCCCGCCGATGCTGGCTCCTGTGGCGACACACCCAGTCGTGTACGCATTTTTACGCCGGAACCAATGTGTATTGATGGCTAACCAAGGGAAAAATCTAAATATGAATGAAGGTCAGATCAAAGAATATACTCGGTAAATCAGCTGGGGGGATGATGGTAAATTCTATAGAGATATATTAAAGATGATGATCTTTGTTATCTTTAATTTGATGTGCTCGTAAGCTAACTTTGATATAGAGAGCACACGCACCCAAACGTTGCACCGACATTGAACAAGACTCCTTGACACAGATATTGGTCCCATATCTTCTGAGGCTTTGTAATCGAGAGCATGAATATAGAGAACACGGCAACGATTCCGCTTCCAGGTACAAGAAGACGCGGGGCCAGAGCGTCGAACACAGCTCCAGAGAACCCTGCAACTGCATTGAGGTCATGAGGTAAAACACAGACGACAGGGCGCGAGACCCACGAACAGATATACAGCAGAAACACCTGCAAAACGCCAATCATGGATATAAGGGTGGGTGAGTAGTCTGACAGGTATGTTTCATTGTAGTAGTCCGAGAAGGCGCTGTAAGCATTTACAAAACTGTAGCCGGCCCCATCTGATGACTCCTTTATTCATCACGAATCTAAAACTCGTTGAAAGAATCCAGGTTGAGTCCTTCACTGCCCTGCCTCGCTTCCTTGTATAAGAACGAATATTGTGCGTCTTCATTGGAATCAAACCCATTCTGACCCTCGCCTTACGAAATGAAAGTTGCAGTAGTTGGCTCTGGTGCCGCTGGCCTTAGCGCAACCTGGGTAGGAGTTTTCAGGTTCCGTTTTTTTCTTTCTTTCCCGCTCTAACGATGTTGTAATAGGCGTTAAATGAACACAGCGATCATGAGGTGCACCTTTATGAAGCTGAGGTTCGTGCAGGAGGACATGCCAACGCCGTACCATTCGTCAGCAAGGCTCCAGACGGACGCGAGCAATTTGCCTATGTGGATACGTACGCGCTCTCTCTCTCCTTACCTGTGTAAATCAGCTGACGTTCCGACAGTGCTTTTGTACGCGCTTTGTGCAATATACAACCCCCCGACATTTCTGAAATATTGGACGATAGATTGTTTTTAACCCGTACACGTACCTCAACTTTTTGCGATTCCTCAAATTACATCCCGACATCGCTATTCTTCCAACGCAGATGTCATTCAGCATATCGCGAGATAATGGTGCATTCGAATGGGCCAGCGACAGCCTCGCGACGCTCTTCTGCCAACCATGGCGAATCTTCGACGGGACACTCTGGCGCATGCTATACGATATTTTTAGATTTAATGCATCTGCTAGGCGTCTTGTAAGCAGATGGAACAAGATGGACATCGACGACTGCGATGGCTGTTCCATCGGAGAATACCTCGAACGCGGTGCATACTCTGATACGTTTCGTGACAACTACTTGATCGTATGAAATTTCCTCTCACAATGGCTATCACTGACCTTTAATGCCGTAGCCCATGACCGCAGCTATTTGGAGTACTCCGCCTAACACATGTGCCTTAGACTTCCCTGCGCGGACCCTAGTAGGTTGATTCGTCCACACGGCGTCCGAAGGCTAAACCCTTGCCCTAGATTCAGTTTATGCATAACCATTTCCTTCTTCAGTTAACGGGGAAGCCATCATGGTTGATTTTCAAAGATGGAAGGTTAGCCTGAGCTTGATTTCGTCTGTCGCCGAGTAGTTCTGATCTGAAAGCTTAATTTAGTCAGGCTTATATCAAAATGATCCTCTTGAAGCTGGCGTCATCGCAGTTACATCTCTGTACCCCTGTCAAGTCGGTCAAGAACACTTCTTCCGACAAAGGTGTGGTACTGACTACAGCAGATGGTCAAGAGGAAGTTTACGATCATGTTATCATGGCCTGCCATTCCGATACGGCGCTGTCGATTCTTAAGGAAGGCGGCGGTATTCGACCCGAGGAAGAGAATATTCTAAGCATGTTCAAGTGGACTAAGAACGAATCGGTTTTGCATTCCGATACTAGGGTGAGCGTCGTACGGTTCTATGACAACTCACACATGGTATAACTTTTCAAACAGCTGCTTCCAAAGAGTCATCTGGCGAAGGCATGCTGGAATTACTTGACATTTTCAGCTGCAACACCTGATGGTCAAACGAAGGCGAACAACGACCAAGTCTCAGTGTACGTTTCATATATATATTTTTTCGTATTATTTACAAGCCAGCTGATTTTCTTGGCAGCACATGTATGCTTTTTGTCTCTCTCCCTGGCATCAATGATTGACAACCCTATGTTCTACAGTCGACATGAATGTCCTGCAGCACATTCCTGCGAAGAAACACGGGCCAGTGCTAGTTTCCATCAACCCTCCGTTCGAACCTGAGCCTAGCACTGTTCAGGGACGATGGACGTTCGACCATCCGGTCCTAGATGGGAATGCCATTCGCGCTCAGCGACTGCTCAGGACGATCCAAGGGATCCGCGGGATCACCTATGCTGGCGGGTATCATAATTTTGGGTTCCATGAGGATGCCTTCACGTCGGGGCTATTGGCAGCCACGACATACAGTGGTCTGAACGCGAAGTTGCCGTTCGAGCTCGAGTTTGCGGAGGGAAGCCCTTGGGATGATCCATCGAGGAAAAGACCAGCCAAGCGTGATTTGTATGCGGAATGGCTGGCGATGGTGTTTGATATCGTCCAAGCTGGCGGCGTGAGGTTCATTGTCGGGACTGCGGGCTTGCTCCTTATGGGTCATGCAGGAATTACGAAGGGGCAGGTTCCTTTGTCGAAATTGATTAATAGTTTCTGGAGCTAGATAGATAGTGGGATACAGTCCTGTAATGATGATAACAGATAGATACATAAAAATCCCTGTTGTTACTGTAAAACTATAATGTAATATATATAAAATGACTCCATCTATATAAAGCGTCCAATGACTATGCACTTTTAGAATATAATAATAAGAAGCAGGAGAACCACATACGAGTGAAAAAATCAATACATAACGATAGGGAAGAAGTACAATATACAGATGTAGTGAATGGCTTTGCGGAGGATGTCGAAGACACTGAGAGCCCCACTGGACTCACTTGCAGTGCTGGCGGTTGAGAATATATCTGTCTGGGCACCTGCACGCGCGTCAGTCGAATACCCACAACGATGGCGATATAACGAACCGGGTTGCCAGCCTAATTTTGTGCTATAAGCAGGACTCTTTGGACTGCCCGCGCTGTCGTAACCGCTGACTTCAATGTTGTTTCCGTCGAGCTGGTGCCAATAAATCATCTGCTTGGCGCCCGATACGCAACTTGATGGTCGGCCTTCGCACCACACCGGAGGTTTCGCCGTTGCTACCGCGGCGCTACCTGTATTACCGGTCACCTTACATCTAAAGCCTTGCATATACATGTTGGGTGTTCCACAACTACCAAGATAATGATCAGTTTCGAGAGCATCACATAAAGATGACGTTAACGTACCCGTTCGGTACCTGAATGGAGGCAGAGAGAGAGGCGTTACTGGGTCATTTTATGAAAGAAGCGCGACAGACGGCACGTACCCACCCCCACTGCGATGATAGGTCAGTCAGTTCGGGTAATAGATAATAGAAATGGATAGACAATTACGGCACATATACAGCCGCCGGATGGGCACGCTGGTAGATTTGGGACCTTGTAAGTAGCCACTCGTTTCCAAGGAGTACTGCAAAAATGGGGATTTTTTTTAAGAAAGCGAACTGGCGATGAAAAGAATCCGCGTACTTCTGCAAGACGGTGAAAACAACAAGATTTTCTGGAGTTACATCGGCCATGTCTGACTGAAGATGACCAACGTGATTATTGAAACATCGCGGAAGGAAAAGGGGTCACTGACGTTATAGGATATCGCGAAGGCTGTTCCTGCGGCCATTGATTGGTTCTGCGTGTGGACTGAGAGGCACCGATGAGAGTAACGAACGCGGAATGCCGAGAAAAAAGCTTACTGTTGGGTTGGTAGATGCATTCCGTTCGTGGCAGGTAGAATTCTGGGTGAGCTTCTCCGTCTCCAAAGACGTTTATACCCGCGCCGTTGTAAGATAAGGTGGTAAAAGCGCGATTTACTGCAAGTTCGACGGTGAATTGGCCATTCGCGGGGCTAATTATCGGTGAGTCTCATGAAGAGCGGGCGATTATAGATGGGCGTACAGTTCTAAAAAGTCGCCTTCGTCGGGGGGGAATTCGTCGCACTGGAGAAGGTTAATATCAGCTGTTTATGATAAGGAGATGGGCTTACCCCGTTGTAGTGATGAAACCACCACTGGTCTTGCGTTAGCTGGAGAAGTGGTTGTTATCACAATGTAGCAGAAAAGTCCGCTGCTCGCCTCGTACAAAGGCTGAACGGCGTCAGCGGTGTTTTGGTTATCGACACCCGCCACCGTGCCATTTAAACAGTACATTCCTGCAGCAACGCGTTCATCTTTAGAAACAATATTTTTGTTGGACAAGTCACGCACCTTTATGCCACGCCGCCACATGCGCACCCACCATGCGTCCGAGGGCAAGCCAGAGAAAAGCGGAGAGAATCACCATCAATGACATAGTAAGAGTTGAATTATAAGTTCAAGAAGAAATAATAGAAATGTCTAGGGTCATGAAGCGGCAGTGAATTGTCTCTGCGCCAAGGAGCGCTCATCATCCCTCCTTTATATTGGAGTGGATCGGCAAGAACAAAACCAAGCCTATCTTATCAAGCTTTATTTGGCTGTGTTAGGATTCCATCCCATTCTCCTTCGCTTCTTCTCTGCCATGGCGGTTGTACGCGACGTACAACTACCTCTTGCCCTACCATCATGAAGGGCATCCAGAAGAGGCATTCCAGTACTCGCAGGAGGTCAACGGACCTCTTTCTTTTCGTATTCATTGTCCTGGTTGTCATTTTCGGCGCCCAGAGATATAAAGTCTCGGCACCCCAGGCGACTCATAGCAGTCCGGCATTTCTCAAGGATGTCACCCACGACATTGAGGCGCAGAAATGGAAGACAGACCAGGTCGCATATGATAGGCACAGTCTGTTATTGAGAGGGCAGAGAGTATTCCTGCAGTGCGCCGCTTTCTTTCACCTTTGTTCGTTTCGTGACGCGTCAAGATAGTTCCGGTGAATTCCATACGTTTCGGCTCCCTGTACCCTCTCTTTGGCCAGACATCATGCAAAAGTTCAAGGCTGCGGGTTTGAATGCCGTCAGCCTATACACCCATATGGGGATCATCAATCCATCCAGAGGTGTACTGGACTTTGGTGACTGGCGTGCGTTGAAGCCATTCTACGAGGCGGCGTTGGATGCAGGTTTATGGGTTGTACTTCGTCCCGGTAAGTTGCCAGATAAGTAAGCACCCGTCGTTTGACTAATATATTTCTAGGACCTGTGCGTAATCCTTTCAGCCGGGGAACCATTTACGCGTCTTTGATTTCGAAACGTAAACCGGGCGATGCCTCGATCTTCATGCAATTGTCGCGTCACTATCGTGTGAACCGTCGAGGCATCTTCCGGTCTACTTTTCGGTACCGAAGACCTGTGGCTACCAACAGATGCCTTTACCGTTCTCACATTCGATGTAGTACATCAATGCTGAAACAACAGCAGGAGGAATTGCTCATTGGGCTACATCGGAAGTGTCTGGAAAACTGAGAACCAATGCGACCGACTGGAGAGACGCGTGGACCGAATATATCAAAGGTATAATTGAGGAGTCAGCCCCGTATCAGATCACTCGAGGTGGACCTGTCATCGGTAAGTACTTCATTTATGACTGACGCCACTGTTCTGCATCGCTGAATGACTGCGTGTAGCCATACAGCTCGGTAAGCCACCCAACGATAAGTAACAATCTCTCGAGCCGATATCCTTTACAGATAACGAATATGAACAATGGCTTGGTGCTGAATATTTCGAAGATCTCAAAGCGGTGTACCATAATTCAACCATCGTCGTACCGTTGACGTACAACGATCCTGGACCACGCTCCAATTTTATCAATGGCACTGTACGTACACATAAGTTATTTGTGCTTCTCTGCAAGTAACCCTTCCCTTAGGGTGCTGTGGACCTTTATGGATTGGACGGATACCCGCAGAGATTCGATTGTTCGAATCCCTTGGTCTGGAACCCAGTTCCTTTGACTTATTACGACTATCACATGTCTGTCAACCCATCTCAGCCGTGGTATATTCCTGGTGTGTCTTCCTGTTTCTGATACTTGCCCTCTTTCCTCAAGAGGCACAGAATTTCAAGCTGGGTCCTACGACGCCTGGGGTCCTGCGCCTGGTAAGTGCTTTTGTTGTATCATTGGTATCGATATCATATACTCAGTCATCCGGACACAGGGTATGATCCGTGTGCGGTCTTGACAGGGCCGGATTTTATGTCGGTCTTCAATCGCCACCTCTGGGCTAGCAACGCAAAATTGATCAACTATTACATGCTATATGGGTAAGATGCCTCTTCCGTTCAAATGACAGATCTAAATCCGACACGATCTTTGTAGCGGCACATCATGGGGAGCCATCCCATTCCCGTGAGTAGTGGACCTCTTCCTTGAGTGATATCATTCTGATCTGCTTCTCACAGTGGGGTAATCCTGTCGTCTCTCGTGTCGTTCCCATCATAACATTTGTTTTGATCTAAGGTCTATACTTCATATGATTACGGGGCGGCTGTAGGTGTCCGTGTAAATATGAGCCTCCTTCTCTAATCATCATTCAGATCAGCGAGGACCGAACACTGACATCCAAGTACGATGAGCTGAAACTACAGAGCATCTTCATAAGGAGTTCTCCAGGCTTCTACAAGACTGACCGCGTGGCTGATACTTCCACTGGTCTTGACATATCCACGTCTCCGGACGTGTTTATGACTTTACTAGTCAATCCCGATACGAAAGCGGGTTTCTACATCGCAAGGCACAATGACTCTTCTTCCACGTTCGTTTACCCTTTCCTGGCCTTGGTGTCAACTGATCCTTTCGCAGTGCTAATACGGACTTCAAACTGACGGTGGCGACCATTGAAGGAGAGCTGGAGTTACCTCTAGTCGCCTCCGCTATAACACTTGGTGGACGTCAATCAAAGGTGATCGTCACGGATTACAGTTTCGGCTCAAGGGTTCAGTACTCCACGGCGCAAGTATTCTTTGCCGGTGTCATTGACGGCCGTGATGTTTTGTTCCTATACGGCGATTCATCCCAGGGACATGAAGCGGCCATCTACTTTACGGGGACTCCCAACCAGCTGCACCTGAGGTCACCATTGGTGTCCATTGAATCGAGGTCTAAAGGAGCTACCATCGTCGTCTTCCTTCCTGGAATCCAAGGGCTGGTGACGCTGTATGATTCTGACACGCAGCTTGTGCTGTTCGGTGATACAGAGACAGCAGGGACTTTTTGGTCGCCAGTTATCGCAGGCGACGAAGCTGATCCTCTGAGGAACTTTTGGGGTCTCGGCACCAACACGTCTATTCTCATCGGAGGACCGTACCTGGTCCGCTCTGCGAGTATAACGGGGACGGAGCTGGCATTGAGAGGCGATCTCAGTGAAGGCGCAAGATTGACCGTCATCGCACCGAATCGCATCCGGTCCATCAGCTGGAACGGGGAGCTTATTTCTGGTGACTTGGCGTCCGTCGGCGGATTTGTCGGGCAACTGGAACTCGGGACTGGGTTCGGTGGGATTAAAGTGCCGGAACTGAAGGATTGGAAGTATAAAGATAGCTTACCTGAGATTGGACGGCGGTTCGATGACGGGACGTGGGCTGTGGCGAACCATACGTCGACGAATATCCCTCTCAAGCCGTACTATGGCGATGGTAGGGTGCTGTATGGGTGTGATTATGGATTGTATGGTTGCTTTCACTCCCTTTCCGAAAACTCTTTCGGTCTGACTGTTCGCTTTCATGTAGTTGTGAGAATATTGTACTATGGAGAGGTCATTTCGTCGCGAGTGGGGCGGAGAAGAGCGTGAATCTATCGATCAATGGGGGAGAAGGTTGGTCGTTTCCTTATCGGCGGGGGGAAAGTGCGTGATTCTGTTTTCGTCTTCCTTGGTCCCACACTTGAATGTTTTGGCAGCTCAACGAACAACCTCAACATCTTGGAAGAGACGGACGACGTCTTTGTGTTTCCTGAAGGGTCGCTTAGCCTTGGTCAAGATAATGTCATTACGATCGTTCAGGTTGGGCGCTGCTGGACTTTCTCCCCGATGTTGGTCATCACTGACGTCGATCGCTGCACAGGATAACATGGGCTTGAACGAGACAGAAGGATGCAAGGTGTTTCACCGTTCGAATCTGTTCCCTACTAACAAACGTTTTTTTCCATTAGCCAACACCGACAGCTCGAAAGGTCCACGTGGCGTTCGGGGCTTTCAGCTGAACAGTGGCACTTTTTCAGAGTGGAAAGTTCAGGGCAAGATTGGAGGATATGCAAAGTGTGTTTTTCGTTCACCATCGCTGGGGGGTTGGTCTAACGAGCTGCAACCTTCTTCAAGCTTCCCCGATAAAGTCCGCGGGATTTTCAATGAAGGCGGGCTTTTCGGAGAACGGGCGGGATGGCATCTTCCTGGGTTTGACACGTCGTCTTGGGGGTCTAGAGAACTTTCTAGTGGGCTGCCGGGCTCGGCCGCCGGAGTTGGGTTCTTTGTGACGACTTTTGAGCTGGACATTCCGGCGGGGTATGACGTGCCTATGTCATTCGTGTTCGACGAACCGCTGGGGCAAGCGTATCGGGTGTACCTGTTTGTGAATGGGTGGATGATGGGGAAGAGGGTCGGGAATCTTGGGTACGTGTTGTAACCCTTGTTCAGAACGGTTGTTGATCAGAAATTCGTAATGCAGGCCGCAGAGTAAGTTTCCTGTGCATCAGGGGATACTGGATTATCAGGGGGAAAAGCAAGTCGTTTTCTTTCTCTTCCTGGGTGATTAGGATTATTGATTGTTTTTTTTTTTCTCCAGTACTGTTGCCGTTGCGCTTTGGGCGATGGAGGAGGGTGGTTTTGTTAGGCTGCTTCTTCGGCTTGCGATTGATGGGGTGTTTGAGGGCGGGGTTGGTCATGTTGCGATGAACAATCCGGGTTGGGCTCCGCGAGGGAGGCTGTTGTGATTTTGTGTTGTGGCGAGTCGCTGAAATTGGATTCTTACGATGAGATAAAAGGCTGTGACTTGTTGTGATGAAAGGAGAAGATTGGTGAACCAATTATATCTCGGATGCCGAGCGCTGGGTATACTGACGTTCTCGTCCCAAGCCGAGATACAGACAGCGTGGGGAGCAAGCGAGGAATGGTATTTGAATTTTATTTTTAATTTTTTTAATTTTTAATTTTTAATTTTTTTTGACTTGGCTCTTTTTTTTCCCGTTTTACGCCTCCGCAACTTCATCGGCCAGCTAACCAAACAAATTTTTTTTCCTTCATGGGCAGTGAGTGTGAGTGTGGATCGCAACAGCCAGCCAGCCTTGGGGGGGGGGGGGGTTCTCAACTACTGCGAAGTGAGGATTAGTCACGTTTATGGGCGGATTAGAGCAAGAAAGAAGAGAACATGTGCGAAGACCCCCTACGAAAACCAAAACCAAAAACAAGGACACGGCGGGGCAACCCTCAGGAACAGGGAGGACGCGGAAATATATATATAAAAGCCTGAAGTTAGGACGACCCAAATGAATCAAGTTATTTACTTACTGCCATTAGTAAAGCGTGGCCTAGACGATAGGACTGCGAACCATGGCACTTGATAGGGGATAGAGGTGGGGCGGACAAAATTTTCGTTCTTGTTCACCACACGACCGCATAGATGGCGTGCGTGTAATCCGTACAACAATGGTACGAGGTAAGCGAGAGCCTTTTATTTTTAATTTTAATTTTTTGGTGGGGGCTACAAAGGCCATTTAGTGACACAGTCGCCTCCGGCATGCAGCCAGTTGTTGCCATGGATTGAAACCAAGTGCGTATAGTTAGTAGAGGGTTTAGTAGTTGCCGCTGGTTAGTAGTGACTTACCACGAGGAAATGCATTACGCACTCAGAGTGTGGGACTTGAAGACTCGTTTAGTTGCCGGGGCACCATTCTTCTTCTCTGCGCCATCCCCTTACTTACCTTGCGCGCCCCGGCACTTACAACGTTATACCCACTAAAACCCCGTTAACTTCCGTCCAGTCTTTAGGAAGTTTTTTCTCGTCGAGAATTGCCCCTGACCAAGTACGTAGCACTAGGTCCTTATTGAGGGCCTTTTGCCCGAACCGTTTGTAAGTCATTTTGCAGTCTAGCTCAAGTCTCTTATCGATCTTGCTTGGCCACATACTTCTGACTTTGTTCAGGGGAGAGCGATGTTCCCCTTTTGGATTACTCTTTCGCATCTAGCGCTCCATATCGTCTGGGCTGATGAGGACATGACAATTCGGAAGAAGCGCTCTTTCCCACTATCCCTGAATCCCTTTGGGAGCTTAAACTCTGGGATTGCGCTAGTGAGAATTGTCAGTGGGGATGGAGGGTGGTGCCATGGGATTCCCCGCTGTTCTAGCAGGGATCTTGTTAGTTGCCAGATTTCATGCTGGCCCGGGGAGGAACATTCGGTCAGGATATGTTCCATGCTTTCCAGGCTGTTATTGCAATGTTTGCACTAGGCCCCCTCATGGTATTATGGAGGGGAAGTGAAGCCATTTCGCTCCTACTCTGTATGCATCATGCATAGTCATGCAGAGCATGTATCTCGTATTTCTATCCATGTCTCTGTGTCTGAGTGACTTCCACAGTTTTACCTCTGTTGGCTTTGTGTCAAATATCCTCTTGGCTCCTGTCATCTCCAGCTGGATGTTTCCTTGTGCCTTTCTCCTGCATGGTAGGGTTTGAATACTCTGTCCCCTTAATGCCTTGTAGGCGCGACTCTGCGAGATTTCGCACAGCGCAGCACCTGTGATACGCAGAGTTGGTGGTATTTCGAGGCTAATATCCTCATCTGGGTCCTTGTTGGCACCTTCATTTGCGAGAATATCGGCCTTTTCATTTCCTGGGTGGCCACTATGGCCCTTTATTTACCCATTCTGGGAAAGGGTATCATACAGAACCAAGTTTATACGCGTTAAGACTTTGTTTTCGTTAAGAGAGAGGTTTGCACTTGCGCCGGTACGATCCTTTCTGGATAGATTTTACATTGGACGGGAAAGCAGACGTTCATCGACACACTCACACTTCTTCTTCGTCCAAGCAAGAACGCGCTCAAATTCAGGTGCGACCTTTTTTTTTTTTTTTCTTTTTTTAATAGTTTGGAGAGAAAGGAAACGCCGATTCCCCCAGACGCAGCATTTCAGCTATTTTAACAACAGAAGGGCGGCTATAAACTTCGGTAGTTCCCCTCCAGTGTTGTGTTTGGCTCTCTCTGCCTGCCTGCCTGCCGATGCTGATGACAAGACGCGTGGGGCTGATGAGTCCGTACCCGGGTCCTGGCTTCTGAGCTTCTCCCTTATCGCGCTCCTCAAATTTTCAATTCAGTTAGGTTTTCGTTGCTATTCAATTAGGCTTTCGTTGCTATTCAGTTAGGTTTTCGATACTATCCTTTACGAGCCTATACTCCACCTTCTTTAAGCGTTTTCGGGCCCCGTGCCATGTCAGTACATGCACTGTCAGTAACTGCACTGCACTGAGCATCGGGACATGTGCTGATGACGGATGGTCTGCTGATCCGTTATGCCAAGAGAATAACAATACGTTGCTTCTTCGCCAGCACACACTTATCGATATGTGTTTTTTCCCCCATTCGGCGGACGATGATGATGATGACCTTGCGAGGATGATGCATGCATATGTTCCGCAAGGCCATGCTGTTATTCATACATGTGTTCGTTCGAATCCCTTGGTATTATTACACGATGCAGAGGGGAAAAAAAAAGAAAAGCGTATACCAAAAAAAACGACATCATTAGAAGGTTGAAGAAGGAAAAAAAAAAAATGCCGGGAAAAAAGGTGGGTGTGGATGTAGATGTGGATGTGGATGGGGTCATGTCAGCAGGACATAGAGAACGAGCGTCAGCCCGACGATGCTTAAGACCTTGCTGGCGACCTTAGTCCCGGAAAGATCAAGAGTGTCCGTCTCGTAGGCGTAGTAGTCGCCCACATCGTCATCGCCATCGCTCGTCTCCGATCCTACATCCGAGGAGGTCTCAGATTCTTCGGACGTCGTCGACGGACTTCGCGGCGGCGGCGTGATGGGGGTGGGGGTAGGCGGTATTGTTGGAGAGGAGTGCAGATGCGGATGCGGCACAGCAGGGAGGAGAATGGTGTCGTTTCGGAGCGTACAGCGAGTCTTGCATGACGGACACCGTCCGTCGGACCGCGAGCCGTGTAGCCACTAACAGCACAACTGCGGATGAGCCAAAAAAAAAAAAAAAAGAGAATCCCAAAAGACCACATACGACACGTACATCGGCGATATGTTCTAGGCAAAACAGTTTGGAGCAGCAGAGTGTTCGACAGGGGGCCACTGCGCTTTCGAAGCTGGCAAGAAGTTGGGGGTTGTTGTCAGGACTTGGGTGAGAGGGGGGGGGGAAGGGGAAACAACGCACCATATACCACAGTCCCTGTCTACGGCATCCCTCCTCTGCCTGCTGCTCCTCCTCAAGCTGGACACGGACCGTCTCCGCGCAGGGGTGGTGGTGGTGGTGGTGGTGGTGGTCTTCGTCTCCCACGCGAAGGCGAACGAAGGTGTCATCTCTCCCGGAGTCTCTGCGCCGAGGTTCAAGCGGTACTCAGGCGTCTCGTCTATAGACGGGAGAATGACAAGTGGAGGCAGGCGAGGACGAGGACGGGGCATCGTCAGCGTTCGTGTTCAAGAGAGGGGGGGGGAAAGAAAGAAACCGACCATCATCATCCTCATAATAGCGGCCATTACCATTATTGTCTGGCTGAAAGTGGAAGGGAAGGGGGATGGGGGGGGGTGGTGGTGCGCGAGATCCGAGTTTCAGCATTATTGTGTTGTTTGGTCGTGAGGGGAAGTAGGTGGTGAGGGGGAATAGGTCACTCGTCCAAGGGTTAATATAAACGAAGCTTCGTGTTATGAAATGGGTGATTTCACGTGTTAGCTGAATAGAGAGGGGGGGTGTCAAATGACGCTGACGTGGGGTGATGGGTGGGTGGTTCCCACACATCCCGTCGGAGGCGGCGGCTCCTATCGTCGGCTCAGTTAGTTCAGTTCAATAAGTTGTCAAGTTTCAGGCAAAAGTGATACCACTTTCTGGCCCAAGACCTGGATCTTGTTTCTCCCAGATAAGAAAAACCCAAAACCCAAAGACAATCTGGCCAACTTGTCTCTGCGAATTCTAGCCCGTTGTCCATCGGAGGCAAGCCTCGCGGGCACGCCGAGCACAGGGTTTCATGGGTCCGCGATCGAGCTCGGCTCGGAGTCCGGACCGCGATGGCAGAACGCGTTATCGGAACCCCCCGTCGAGATAGATCTATGGCATGCCAATCGCCAATCAACCCCCCTCCCCCGTCTCTCGGAGACGTAGCCCGAGGACTTGATTCCCTTGCCGAACGGCTAAAGCAACTCAACTCACTTTAGGACCAGACATTTACAGATACAAACCTAGGAACAACGTTGGTTTACGTTGTAAGAACTCAGTCGGCACAGTAAAGGTTAAACGACTGAGGATGCGATGCGGGTGTAACTACTAGGTATATTATATATACTGGGGGGATGAAGTATAGGAGTTTGGGTAGACAAAAGGAGTCCATAAGGAGCGGTGTACGGTATATATAAGGAGGGAAAGAGTCAGGTGCACGTGTCTCGTTCAACCTACTAGACAGAGGTCGTTATTTCGGTGGGATGTGGGACCAGGGAGGATGTCAACAAAAGCAAAACCCACACCGGTAACTAATGATGTTTAGTGCTACTGTGAATCGGCAGCTCAATGATGACTCAAAGCTCAAAAGCCCAACAGTCAAGGTCCCTATAAGTTAAGAATATTCAAATTTCACTTAACCAAAAACACTATAACACATTAGTAATTCCCTCTAGCCGACTTGAACGACTGACCTCGTCATAGCATCTACTAGTGACGCGCTCTACCAACTGAGCTAAGAGGGAGACATAATAGGCTAGTAGGTAATTGTATATATCCTTAGTCAGTTTTCTAAACCAAAGCAATTAACCATAGTAATGACAGAACAATCTAATAAACTATGTACGAGTAGCGTATCCTCCCATTTCCCATTCCCCATCAACATTTATCCAATCCCAACCAGATATCCAAATCCTCCCACATCCTCTCCCTCGCCTTCCTCCACACCACAATCCTCTGATCCACACATCCCTGACAATACCCCCCCGCCTTGGCCCAATCCAGCTCCATCAGCGCCTGCGTCCCACAAATCGGGTCCCTCAAAAACGTTTCAAACAGCCCCGAGGCGCCGACCATCTCCTGGTGCTTCGCCGCCACCAAACCCACCTCCGAAGCCGTACACCCGCTCACGTTCCCGACACACTTGCCCTCGACGCCAAAAGTAGCCGTGGCGATCCGGGTCGTCCACGCGGACGTGAGCATCTCCCGAGCGCGAACCAGGAGCCTGTAATCGGACGAAGAGATCGCGGTGCGCGATGATCTGGAGCTGCTGGGCTGATGGTGGTGGTGGTGGTGGTCAGTCTCGTCGTCCGAATCGTCCTGCCCGAACCCTGTGAGACGCACGAGCTCGTACAGCGCCCGTTTTCGGATGCTCTTGAGGCCGCATTCACGTGCAAGGATGACAGTGGCGGAAGCGTGGTTGATCGGAGTGGTGGTTACTTTAGACAAGGACGAGGGCCACATTTCTTCGAGGTAACGCGTCGCCCAGTCTCGAAAGCGATTGAAGGAGAGCGCACTTGAGGCGCGAAAAATGGAAGCCGCGGTAAAAAAATCAGGAGGATTGTAGAAGTAAGTGCTAGGGAGCTGTCAGCGATGAAACGCAGGAAAGGTTGTGGGGGCATACATGGCATCATCCATCGCGTCTAATAGTGCCTCAAAATCTTCCTCCGTAACCTTGTCGTCGATATCATATATCGGATCTTTACCCTCAAAATCGTCCGCCCCCCCCTCAATCCGCTTGGAGAACCACTCGCTATACCTCGCGATGCTCCGATGCAGTCTGAAGAGCGTCTTCTTTATCCTGACTACGACGTTCCCGTCCAGCTCCCAGTGGACCTGGTGCTTATGCATAACCAGGCGCCTAGCAGCTTTGACTTTCTGTCTCTTCGCAGGCTGCTGAGACGCGGTAATACTACGATCACCGTCATCCTGTTTGCGCTTCTGAGTCCCCGGCTTGTTGATCTGGCTAAGATTTTTGGGCGGAGTAGTAGGAGAAGACGAAGTAGAGATGATACCGTGCGAAGGAGTACGTGGAACTTCTGTAGATGAATTCTGTGATTGAGAGCGTCTAGGCGTGCTGGCAAGTGGGACAGAGATGGATGGTTGCTGAGGATGGAGTTAATACGAGATTTGTCTCAAGTAATAATTATACGCACTGGAGTGTCGGCCTTAGTGAAACGAGGTCGCGTGCCTTCCACCATTTGCGATAGTTCTGATACTGAGGGGAACTCGTCGTCATCGTCGTCGATATTAGGAGGCCCTTCAAAGTCGTCTAGGTCCAACATAACGGACTGGGAAGGCGGCGACATTGGAAACGGTCTTGGTGTCGTTGTAGCCTCCCTTTGTGAAGGTCTCACCGGGGTGCTTGTATGCGACGCAGCTGGCAAATGGTCAGATTGGGAGAAAATATAGGTGCGGTAAGCAAGCATACTAGCGTAATTCTGTCTGGATCCTGGTACAACAGATGTCTCTGGTGATGATTTTAGTGGGCCTAAGTAAAAAGCGTGATGAATGATCTAATTTTCGACAGCGACAGGGTACCGTCATCTGACCGGATGGCCCTGGAGTCGCTGCTCGACGTAACTGTGAGCCGGCATCATTCGCACTGGTTAGACCAATTTTCTGGGAGGAGGAGGAGGAGGATTCTGCACCGTTGCTCATGATGGCAAGCAAGATGAGGTCCAGACCAATCGCGTTGACGCGCCGTAAAAGTTTGGCGGTGTTTGTACAAATACATATCGTTCCGCTTTCTGAGTCAGCGTCGATCGCCTTCAGAAAAGATAAAATAAGACTGGTTCATCTTGCCGCTATTCACCAGACGGAACCTGTCTACATTGGTTACGTACGTGAAATATGAAAGCCAAGTCGTCAATCTGATTCTCTTGCCACCAATTTGAATGGCACAGACCCTAGTGAAAATGCAGTTCCACATAAAGTAGCGTCTGCCGCAATCCGATCCCACATTTGAGCCGCCGTCTCTCCAAGTTCCGGAACGACTTCAACCTTCCAGTCCCTCAGGAGATGAGCAAGGAAACAGACAGCTTCAGTCTGAGCAAATTTCTTGCCTACGCACGCCCTAGGTCCCAAAACCGAACATGATAAAGTCATGCTCCGTAACATCGTACCACCTCGAAGGGAGAAACTTCTCTGGTTCTGGGAAGTCGTGTGGGTTGTGTACTGCATCGCTGATGTCAGCGACCTCATACTGAGACTGACATAATAAAACGTACAGACGGACACAGTTGTCGATAACGATCCAAGAGCCCTTCGGAATGATCTTTCTGACATGAGATTTTGGTACGATTGTGGTCCCTTCGTCTATGGAAACGAGAGAGCGGTGATTGAAGAAAGTGTATGTTCTGCTCAACATCTATAGATTCTTCTTCGAGGACGTCTGTATTGTCTCGAATCAAGGCTATACAATCCTAGAAGAGGAGCTCAGTTCCAGCGGTGGCACAGACGATGATATTGCATCTTCTCCGTCGAGTTTATGTGACCAATACAAATGAGAAATTCTACACAGCCATCATATGTAACGCTCCTTTTGTACCAGAGAAGGAACAGAAAAATACTGCTTACATTGAAATGGCGGTCATTCGACACCAGCAATCAATAACGGCAGAAAAGCAATGTTTGTTACGGCGCGAATGGTGTCCCGCTCTGAACTAGTAGGAAAAGTTCTTGACGACACAGCGACGATGAAAAATGGGTGTATGTGCTGTATGTATTTCGTGACATAGACTCCGAGAAGACCGGATTAGATAGTGGCGGTGGTAACTGGTCAAGGAAGGAACAATGAGGCGGCCCGAAAGTCTGTAGCGAGAAGGACAGTCCCAACACCCTCTCGCACTAATGCAGAAATGTATTGAAGTACAGACACAAATCACCACATCACAAAGTGGAAATATTAGGCCCAACATGGCCCCAACGTTTTCCAAACCATATCCAGAATACCACCACAAAGACAACGTAGGTACCTACCCTGCATAAAGAGATGATAATGCCCTCTCTCCTTTTTCTCCCTGGCTCTTGCCCTCTGACGACTCACTCATCGCCGAATACAGAGAATTCTCATATCTAAACGAAGCGTCATCGGATACAGATCGAACTGCAAAACAGGATCGTAAGGGTGGATTCGATAAAGAAATTAATTTAAAAAAAAAAAAAACAGCGTACTGAGGAAAGGCGGGGGCGACGTCCCCGAGTCTTTGACAGCGGCTTGTCGCGGGTGGTACCAGAGTAGCCAGAGGAGGAACGCCATGATCGCTCCTGTAAAGGCGATACACCCTGTCACGATTCCAGCTATGGCGCCCGTGCTGATGGAACTTTCTCGGGTCCCTGCAGAGGTGGAAAGCACAGAGGTGCTCGTGGCAGTGGAGTCGACTGTAGATGGCATCCGTTGAGGCTGTGAAGTACTACTAGTTACGTTCAGAGTCGTTGATGCACAATGTGTGAAGGAGTTATTTCCATCTTCAGCATTGGTAAGTTCCATTCGTTCGCGGGACCATGTACTGCCGGTTTGACGTCAACAGGGCGGACCCTACGTTAAAGATAGATCCCACGTACTAGAACCTGTGGGCATAGAATTATACTAGAACCCAATGTAAATAGAATCCTGACATACCACGCTCCACTAGACCAAAATACAGCGTTATAGAAATCGTCATGAATCTTCAGATCGTTGTTGCATACGGCAGCTTGTATGTCGACCGTGAATCTGAGGATCGCAAATTAGATCCTCACCATAGATCATACCGTGAACGTAAATGGTGCATACGATTGGTTAGTATTGGGGGTGCAGAGCTTCGATTTGCGCGTCAGATATCGTTGATATGTGCCGGAGGCTTGGAGTAAAGATGAGAATTAGTGAAGGAGATTGAAACGCATAACGCACGAGCGTTGATGCCGTTGCCGGAACTATCTACTCCTTGCTGGCATCTATGCGACGTTGATATCCAGCGGCCCTTTTCATCGAAGGTGACGCGGATCACTCACGTCAGACACAGCATACTAAGCCCGAATGCGATTGAATTGCAACAACACTCGGCTGTAATTGTGCAATGCAATGAAACAGATTAGCGGGTTCCCGTCGCTTTGGAGATCGGTCATACCAACTTGGTCGTCGCATGTATCCGGAGGAGTATTGGGATTCAAGGCTCCCAGTGTATCTGGGAAGATGGGGTTGGACTTGGGTTGGACTGACAGAGAACAATGGAGCCTTTACAATCGCTATTGCATATCTGTCGTAGCCGCTCATAGGTTCGACCTGCCAAAAGTTCAGTTCCGACGAAGGAGGGGGGGTGTAGGGAGTGTACATGGTGTCTCCCCTACGACACTCGTATACCAGTCTGATCCGCTATCCGAACATTGTGTAATGTCTTGCGCAAGGAGATAGGGTACCACAAATGAGAGACCAAAAAGAATTTTGAGGAAACAAGATATCGCATCCATTTGCGATCCAGGAGAAGGCGGTTAAAACGTGAAGAGCTGCGGCACGGAACTAGATATACCAAAAGCTTCCTGATAATTATCAACAGAAACGATGGGCTAATGATTGATACAATGATCGTGATGGGACCCCCTCCCCCGCGTTTAGTGAAAGGTGTTATGGAAAGCGTCAGTTGATCCTAGGATGACCTGTCAAGACGAAAAAAAATCGACAAACAGGGCAGAGAGAGCAGTAAGTTCTCATATCCCAATCCAAGTTGCCTTCTCGCAATCCTTGTTACAAGGCAATCAAGGACCTCACAAGAATGGCGTAGGAAGCATGAAACACAACATGGACACGTGTACAAGGATATCAATCTGGTCGCAAGTTGGCCCGTATTGATAACTCAGATCTCAACCTTGGGAAAAGGTGACGCAAACCTTCGATATCATTGGTGGTCACACACAATGGCGGTCGTCACTAGTTAACATCAACGGGACGGACAGTGGATGGTCCCAGCCAAGAACTAATAGGCACCCCCCAGAGGAAGCAGAAGCCTTTGGTTACATCAAAGATTGTCACCAATGAAACACAGAGACGAGACTACGATATTCGGTAGTACGAGATGGAAGTCGGGCCGCTCTACAGAAACGGAATCGGCCGATGTGTACCATCTATACTTGTCCGTTATCCAACGGGTGTCATTAGGGAGGATCTGTTGGTAAGCCTTAGCATCAGCCAACACGGGAGAAGAAAGGATTCTACTCACCCTTGAACGGCAAGCGAACGGTCTATACACTTCAAAATACTGCCGGCTTGTGAATGACAGTCCAGAGAAGCACATTATAGCTAGTCGACACGGCGCCTAGCTTCCATTTCTTTCCCGACCCCCATCTCCTCCAACTAAGGGTAAGCACATCTCGCCAGAGAAGCGCCGTTATTCAGTTAACAGACTACCATTAGATGCCCTTGTTATTGATCAGCACTGCGCAGTATGCGATACGGTGAAGGAAGAAGATAGTGTCAGAATAAAGCAACAAGGAGTAATGGTGGTGGTGGTGGTAAAGGAAGAAAGGGAATACCGGGAGTCGGAGTCTGGAAATCAAGCCGAGCAAGTCATCAATTTTATCTTCCTTGGATAATTTTCAAATTCCTCTAGCAGTTCGAGTGTTTTGTTTTTTTGAATCTCTTCTAGCGGATCTCAAATTGGAAGCTCATAGCTTCAGTTTATTTTTCTGTCGAGTGATTGCAAGTCGGGGTTGCGACCAGTGTTCGATAATACCCTCACTAGCACCACCTTTCATCCCTTGCAAATAATTAGGATGGCAGTGGCAGATGGTCGTTACTCACTGTAGCTAGTTCCAACTTCATCAGGAGAAAAAGGTTCAAAACTCCTTGCGTAGTTCTTTGACCAAGAAGGACGGCTAGAATGTGCCGACAATACCGCTATCAATCCACATTCGTGTCTAGCAACATATCCCTGTAAGCTTAAGACTGGGGTAAGTACTCAATAGGCTTTTTATGCATATTCTTGTTCGGGGGTTGATCTGAACCCTTAACCAAGCTGCACGTGGTCGGTCCGAACCTCAACTGCGAACTCAACTGCGAATCCGCGACTGCCGCTCAGGCGCTCTCTTTCCCCCCACCCTGTCACGACTCACGAAAAGCAGAATCGAACAGATAAATCGTCGCTCCCAAGGTCAAGGCTTTCTCAGAAACGTCACTGTTCAGCAATGAATCTCTTTAAGTTTCCAGAAAAGACGATAAAATCAACTTCTAAGTATGGTTCCCTGATAGATCTTTTAATTATTCTATACCATTGTATAGGTCTCAGAATGCCTTGTAATAACATAATATCGCCACCATTGAAATACCAGGCGCTATACACAACTTTGTCGCTCGGCATCATAATACTAATAGAAGGAAACTGCATCTAATTTTCGCAAAGATCCAAAATCTGCAATTATGATAGTTACCCTACGACTCATCGGACTCACCCATCGCTGGACCATTGCACCTCTATAGTAGTCAAATCATCCTCTTTACCATCGTTTCCCATTATTCTTGCGAGGAAAAAAAGAGTCCATGTACTCCAATTTGAGATGCACGAGAAGTCCTGGTGTACAAAGCGGTATACACGCCTACAGCAAAAAAAAAAATCACTACTACATGATAGATCCTCCCCCACCTCCACTAACGCCAAAGGCCAGCATCTAAGGAATCAAGTATCATTAGGAAGGCTAACGGGTTATATACAGCCAAAGCATAGCCCCTCGACAAGCCCAAACCTATTCTGTATAAGCAGGTGGTTGTTGCGTCGTCCTCCCTTTGCCCCCAAACCGCCTCTCTGACTGCGCAGGAGTCCTCGTAGATAGTGCCGAGTCCTCACTCCGATACACAGGAGTAGAAAGACTCGCAGGGGGCATGGATGGAACTGCAAACACATTTTTTTTTGTCAATATCAGGATTACAGATCCGAGGAAAGGTAAAACTCTACTGTGGAAGGGGCGAGGCGACGTTTCCGAGTCCTCGATAGCGACTCGTCGCCGTTTGTAGGAGAACAGCCAGATGAGGGAGAGCGTGATTGCTACTATCAGCGCGATACACCCCACTGCGATCCCGACTATGGTACCCCCACTGAGAGTTTTTGATGAGCTTCCTGTCTGTGAAGGTGAGGTGGTAGTGAGCGACGTCGACTCTGAAATCGATGTCGGTTTCGCAAGTGCTGTTTGTGAAGGCGACTGAGACTCTGAACTACTGGTTTCGTTCACGGTCGTCGATGCACAATGTGTGAAGGAGTTATTTCTATCTTCAGCATTAGTAAGTTCTATTCGTTCGCGGGACCATGTACTGCCGGTTTGACGTCAACAGGGCGGACCCTACGTTAAAGATAGATCTCACGTACTAGAACCTGTGGGCATAGAATTATACTAGAACCCAATGTAAACGGAATCGTGACATACCACGCTCCATCGGACCAAAATACAGCGTTATAGAAATCGTCATGAATCTTCAGATCGTTGTTGCATACGGCAGCTTGTATGTCGACCGTGAATCTGAGGATCGCAAATTAGATCTTCACCATAGATCATACTGTGAACGTGAATGGTGCATACGATTGGTTAGTATTGGGGGTGCAGAACGAGGTCGATCCGTGCGTCAGGTATTGTTGATATGCGCCGGAGCCTTGGAGTAAAGATGAGAATTAGTGAAGGAGATTGAAACGCACATACGCACCAGCGTCAATGCCGTTGCCAGAACTACCTGTTCCTTGCTGGCATCTACGCGATGTTGACACCCAGCGGCCAGGTAACGCGGATCACTTACGTCAGACACAACATACTCAGCCCGAATGCGATTGAATTGCAACAACAGTCAGCTTTGATTGTGCAATGCAATGAAACAGATTAGCGGGTTCCTATCGCTTTGGAGATCGGTCATACCAACTTGGTCGTTGCATGTATCCGGAGGAGTACTGGGACCCAAGGCTCCCAGTGTATCTGGGAAGATGGGGTTGGACTTGGGTTGGACTGACAGAGAAGAACAGAGCTTTACAATCGCTATTGCATATCTGTCGTAGCCGCTCATAGGTTCGACCTGCCAAAAGTTCAGTTCCGACGAAGGAGGGGGGGTGTAGAGAGCGTACATGGCGTCTCCCCTACGACACTCGTATACCAGTCTGATCCGCTATCCGAACATTGTGTATAGTTCTGGGCAAAGGCATAAGGAACGAGAAATGAGAGGCCAAAGAGAGCTTTGAGGAGAGAGGTTGTTACATCCATGTGAAGTAGGGGGAAGGAAAGATGGTCAAAGTATAGAAAGTGATGGTGTGCAACGAGATATACCAAACAAACCCTTCTTGACGTGACCAGCAGACAATGTGTCGCCGATTGATGCAATGATGGTTGATGTAACACTTTCATTTCCTTGAAATAAGGTGGCCAATTGCTGATGGGAATCATGGGTCGATCCTGAGATTCTGAAAGAATAATTGCGAAGATGGCAAGTCATCACCAAGAACCGACGAACGCAAGCTCAGAGGGAAAATGCAGTATTCAAGTTGAAATCCGGATGTCCATCACTTCCGCGTCGGTTCGAGAGCAACCGTTCCTTTGATGGTAATCAGTAAAAGGCCCATTACCGTGTCTGAGGGTGGGGCATTAATAAGTCCAACGTGACTTCGAGAAGGAACAAAACGAACATTCTATATATCGCTGGTCGTTAGTAGTTGGTAGCCATGAAAAAAGTTGATGGTCTCAGCCAAGGACCGATTAATTAGCGCTCATAACCGGTGTAATCTGTAATCATTTGTTCGGGCTCAAAAGGAGTGATGAATTCGTTCTCGGCGGAACGATGGTAACTCGAGAAGACTGTTGGAGTGAGGTGAGATGTTGATGACTTGGGAGGGAGCGGCCTCCATCCAGGGTGCACCACCCTCCTTAACGAAGAGGCCAATTTTATGATGTACATATCACATATGCAGGCAGCCATCTATGTGTTTGATTTGGGAGAGGGGGAGGGGAGAAGGGGGAACTGTTAACAAGGCATAGAATCAGCCAACATGGATCAGGATTTTGCTTTGGTCTTGTCAAGGATCAGGCCATATATACCTTCTAATACATAATAATACTAAGATGGTAGACAGCATATATTGTAATAGGTCCTGTAATTGTAGCTGAGCATAATTAATCATTTTACTATGATTTATACCACTGCTAAAGCATAGTGCACTCCTTTGTGCACTGGAGGTGGCCCTCAATCCTGACTGTATGCCCTCAGGTCATCTATTAATACCACCACCAAGCTTCCAAATTGGTCCATGATTGTTATTGATCTCAAAATAGGTGGTGATGCAATTGTCATGGAGTTACCTGATACACTGGTCCCTGTTGGATCCCTGTACTGCATAAAAATAGACTGCCCTGCAATCTTAGGTTTTAATGAATTATATCCTAATTATGGGGTGCAAGGATAGCACCACTAAGACAATTAGCTTGTACAGGAGGCATGCAGTGACTTGGGATCACTGATGATTGTACAGCTCAAAGGGGTCCAGCATTCCCAGATTCCATGGGTACTCACAAGGGGGCTTCAGACTGTGTTGGGATTTTGCTGGAAAGTTCTAGAAAGGGCAATCCGGCATCATGCTGAGAGTTGATGAGTAAGCTCGAGAGAAAGAGAAAGTTGTAGTAAATTCCAGATACAAGCCTGGAGAGTATAAATACAAGCTCTGTAGGAGCTGTAGAATAAGAAGTTCATACTATCTGGCCTTACCAGCCTGGAATCTACCCTGTGCAACACTGAGGATTTCCAACAGACTGGAAAGTTATGGGGAGAGGCAAACACCACAATTTTAGGTAGTTTGACCTCAGACTTGATGTGAGAAATGAGTTTGAGCCACACCAAGCTAGTGGGTGCAGCAGTGGCACCTTGTTTGTATAGATTTTGTATGCTCCCTGTAATACCGATATCCATGGCCTTGGGGTAGTCTCTCCATCAAGAAGGAGGAGAAGCTGAGAACTTGGAAGGGCTGTCAGCTTTCACAAAACTTGAAACTCTGACTGCTGGCTCACAGCATATGGAATGGAATCACAGCTAAATTGCACCTGATAGAGTTTCGTGCGTAATCCTAAACGGTACTGAAGCCTAGACACTAGCGAAAAAAAATAGAAGTTCCACATTCTTCATTCAGAAGTGACCGAGGCAGGGGTCGAACCTGCAATCTCCTGATAACACCTCGTAGTCAGACGCGTTGCCATTACGCCACACGGCCATGGCTTTCGTTGATTAATGCAATATATCAACTCCAATCTTCAATTACGCCTTCCTTTAATGACCCCACCACGAACGCCGCCATCGCACTTAAGAACCGTAGCGTCCACTCAACAATGCAGCCCACAAAACTCCGATTTTCCGCATACCCTTCCTCTCCCGGAACTCTCAGTGGATAGGGCCGTTCATGCACCTCCGCAGTATTAAAATGACACGCCGCGGAGATGGTGTACGCGCCACGCAATTCCATGTCCTTCGTACGACCCAAATTCAACCTCGGATACGAGCCCCATGTTACGGAGGGTGTGCGCACCCTCCCTCAGGCAATCGAGTACAATGCCCGGTTTAACGGTGACAGGGTATTCGCACTGCAACTGCATCCTCAATCACAAGACAGCGATGAGATAGGGAGGAAGATCACCTTTGCAGATCTCGCGCACGGTGTGGATGTGGCAGCCAAGTGGTTAGTCGAGCGCGGGGTGGGCGGCGATGAAGAGAAGGGAGGAATCGCGGTCCTCATGGGAAGCGACGTGGGGTTGTTCATCTGGGTGGCGGCAGGTATGAGGGTCGGGGTGCCTGTGCGTCGCTATTTGGCTCTTTTCGTTCCGTTCTTGATCTGAAGACCAGGTTCTCCTTCTCTCTGCGCGACTAACGCCCGTCGCAATCGACCATCTGCTCTCCAAGACGGAGCCCAACCCCAGACTGGTGCTCACATCACCTCTCACATCTCGACTTACTCCTTCTCCTGCCCCAGCTGCACCGACATGGGTCGAGGCCCCAACCTACACGGAACTCCTCTCAAAAGCGTCAGCGTCGAGCATCGCTCTACCGCCCCATCCCCCCTCCAACACCACCGAACGCACAGCCATCATCCTCCACTCTTCTGGGACGACCGGCCTCCCGAAGCCCATCTACCACGCTCACGGATACGTCCTCGGATATGGCCAAGACCATCTCTTCACGCATGAACATGTCGAGGCACTAGGATGGAACGTGTCCACATTGCCTCTATACCACGTATCTACCATCCTTGTGAAGGGATGACGCGTTTTCTGACATGTTTTTTTTAGGGCTTTGGACTGTTGGCGCCCATGATGTCGCTGAGCATCGGACTACCCTTCGTACTCCCCGGCGCTGGCACGATACCAACCGGAAGGGGACAATTGAAGGTTCTGGATGCGCTCTGTGCAAACGCCGGACATACGAATGGGGTGAAAGCGGACGGCATCACGAATGGCTACTTGAACGGAACGATGACGCATACGGTCCTCAATCGCGTCGGTTTGATGCTTTCCGTCCCCTCCGTTGTCGAGGATCTCCTCACGATACCTGGTGGCGTCGACGCACTGAAGCGTCTCGATGTGCTCGCAGTAGGTGGCGCCCCGTTGAAGGAGGTAACCGGCGAAGAGCTGGTGCATCGAGGAGTCAAGCTCCTCAATCATTGGGGTCAGTGCCCCCGCCTAATCATTCCCTGTCAATGACCTAATTCTTCCCACCAGGCGCCACGGAAATCGGAGCCATCGCTGTCGTCCAACACGTTCCTGCAAACTACGACTGGCACTACCTCATCCCACGACAGGACATCCCACTCACGTTCACTCCTCTTGGCAAGGGTACATACCGACTAAGTGGTCGCGCGCCAGGCTGGGAGGAGGACTACGTCGTGCAGGATCACCTACTCGGTAACCCAGCCAAGGAGAATCAATATCGTATCCTCGGTCGTAGTGACGATCTTGTCGTTCTCGCTAACGGGGAGAAGGTCCGTCCAAGTGGCATCGAACAGGCGCTGGGAGAGTGCCCTGGAGTAAGGGGCGTCTTGGTGTTCGGACAGGGAAGGGAAGGATGTGGTGTCCTCGTCGAAGTCGATGGCGAACCATCAGCAGACTTTGACGCTTTTCTCGGAAAAGCAAACGAGCTGGCTGACAAGCATGCCAAGGTACCGAGGGAGATGGTCGTTTTCATTAACCCTGGTGGGTTGGTGAGGACGGATAAGGGGAGTATCGCGAGGAAGGCAAGCTGGGAGAAATGGGAGAAGGAGATTGTGAAGAGCTACGAAGACGCAGAGCAGGAAGAGGAGCCGATTATGGATGCGGATGCGGGTGTATGGGTCGCTCGGGTGCTGAACGAAGTTTTGGGCTATGACATTCCTGAAACGAAAGACTTTTTTGAGTGTGGAATGGACTCACTCCAGGCTGCCCGGATACGGAGGAGGATCGGACGTTCGCTGAGAGTCGACGTCGAGACCGATTTCGTGTATCGGCATTCGACAGCAAGCAGGCTTGTGTCCGCAATAGAGAAAGTGAGGGCAGGGACGTATGTTTCTGAAGAAGTGGGGAGAGAAGAAAAAATGCGTAGGATGCTGGAGAAGTACCGGGCGGAGATGCTTGGAAACAAGGTGGTCCTGCTCACTGGTTCAACGGGAAGCTTGGGCTGCTTCCTGCTAGCGAGACTGGCCAATGATCCCGAGGTCAAACGTATTGTGTGTATCAACCGGCGCGGAGGACGCGAGAGGCAGGAGGCGGAAATGCAAAGACGGGGCGCTGGTGTCATCAACTGGTACAAGATCCACATGCTCGAAATTCCCGATCTTGGAGACGTCGACGACCAGCTGGACGATGTCAGCGATGACGTGACGCACATCATCCACAATGCGTGGCCGGTCAACTTTTCGCGGGGCTTGGAGAGTTTCGAAGGACATGTACGGGGCTTGGTCAACCTGGTGAAAATAGCCCGGAGGTCTTCAGCAAAGAACGTACGCGTCCTATTCGCTTCGTCAATTGCTGTCGTCGGTCGGTATCCCTCTCAGCCTGTACCGGAACAGCCTGTCCAGCCAGAGTCGACGGCTGAGTTTGGGTACCCCGAAGCCAAGTGGGTGTGTGAAGAGCTTTTGCTCTCGCTTGAGGGGAAGGTCCGAGGGAGCTCGGTGAGAATTGGGCAGATGACGGGGGCGGAGGGAGCCGGGGCTTGGAACGAGAGCGAGCATTTCCCTGTGGTGGTGGGTGCGAGCAAGGCCATCGGAGCGCTCCCTAGGCTTGAGGGTACGCTCTCTTGGCTGCCTGTCAACCGCGCCGGTGAGATCGTCGTCGAGCTCTTGTTTTCGGACCGCTTCAAGCCGATATACCACATGGAAAACCCTGCTCGGCAGGAGTGGACGGCTGTTATCGATACTCTGGCGGATGTACTTGGGATACCGGTTGTGGGATATGCGGAGTGGCTCGAGAGGGTGAGAGGCAATGAGCAGGTGAATAAGCTGATTGAGTTTTTGGAGAGGGATTTCGAGCGGATGGCTGCTGGGGGTGTCGTGCTTGGGACGGAGGAGGCGAGGAAGGATTCGAGGGGGATGAGAGAGTCCGGTGTGGTGGGACGGAAGGAAGTTGAGGAGTACGTTAATTATTGGAGGCGCGTCGGCGTGCTCTAATGGAACGTTGCTTCGCGTATTTGCATTACTTGTAATAATATCATAGACTTCACGAGCTGGCACCTTTTTTAGATTTACTGCGAGGAATAGCATAGTGGTGCGTCAAATAGGGATACCCACCTAACCCGTACCGTCAACACCTCATGTCCACAGCTCAACGGTACAATACGGTATATATCACCCCTTTGTGGGCTTTGGTTGTGAGGCTGACGGCCGTGGTATCATCTCGATGCCGAAGCTGAATAGGTCATTGCTATTGCAGGTAACGAAGCTTTAGTTCGATATCCGTAACGTGTTGTTAAAACTTGGGTCAGGCCTCAGTGCTAGTGCTCAGCTTTGGAGTTCGCTTGCCCAAGGCACCTCTGCTCAAGTGGGACTTGGCAGGAGGACACCACCATCTACACCTAATGTCTTTGCCCCTTGGCCTCTGGAAACAGGTCGGTCCCGAATCAAGCTGCTCTTCGTCCTCACTACCAGAAGGTGGCCTTCGAGTAACCACCATGGCGGTGCTATGCTATAGGAGCAATGTGTTCAGTAACTGTCCAGGTTCGAGCCCTGGTAGGCTGTTCTCAGCGTCAGAGACCGGGAAACATCTTTTTATCGGTGCGGAGTGGTCGGCTCTGACTTGAAAACGAGGTGACCAGCCAGTCACTCGGCAAAGTATTTCATTACAAGAGGAGATGCACACAGTGACTAGTGTCGATGGACGAAATCACGAACGCGATATGACACCAGGGGCAGAGGCAAACTAAACTATTTTTGCACGGATATCTATTCTGTTCGTACCAGGAGCACACCACGGTGGATACAGGGAACTCGGATGGACATGGTTCTGTTCTTTTACAGGCGGAGATGCTGAGATCTGATCACAGGATGTGTTTCCCTATCAACCTAGAAGTGGGCTCATTATGCCCCGGGAGTATAAAAGATGTATCATACGTCCTTCTCTTTCTTGCTAGGTTCCAGCTGTTTGTTTTGATTCAGGCATATGTTGTTTGCAGGATCTACTGACCCTGATTTAGAGCTATAGGCAAAATACCATTTATAAGGCAATGTCATTCCGGGCAAAGGCGACCGACTTTCTGGAACCTGTTGCATCTCTAACGTCGAATCCAAGTTTTCTGCGGCACCAACACCTATACGAACAATTTTGCCTCTCATCCTCACCCCTCACTGGGTACTATGCACTCCTGTTTTGAGAATGATGTTATCATTGTCGAGGCACTATGATGCAGGAGCAATATTCTCAAGTAGGCCAGGTTTGAACCCTGATAATGCCTATGAGAGCCCAAGACCCCTTTTTTAAAATGCCAATTTCTGTTTTGCGACTGCTGGATATCTGATAACTACCATCGTTTACTTTTCCACCTGCCGCCTCGTTGCTGATGAGAAATAGGAAGGGAGGATGTTTGGCATCTACGTTTTTGAGACCTTCTCGATGGGAGTCTAGGATTCAATGGACGAGCTCTCTTCCCATCCATCATGGCAGCAAGGCGATTCCACGTATCATCAAATGTCTATCCCTCAGTGTTGTAACTAAACTCGAAGGATGCATGCCTTTTGCATCCTGTCAATAGGTGCCTTCATGGATAGACTGAAGCACCGAGAACTATGGCGAAAAGCTTGGAGGAACCACCTGGAGTCTGAAGGTGACAGGTATCATAGAGAAGTCACATAAAAGGGTAAGTATTAGTGCCCTATGCAAGCAATATATGAACTGTAATTGTTAAGATGAGCGGTAATTCTTCAGCGCTCACCCGGATTTCAGGAGGGAACCCTCGCAAATAGGTAAGGGTCATCATTGTTTGTCTGCCAATTTACCTTCATGACCCGTGTATACATAATAGAAGCAATACAGTGTAACAGGGAAAGCCGAGGAGGAGAGCAATGCTGACAACCGAAGATCCCGACATTGACCGTGCTGGGATGCGCGATAGTTGACATTACAATAATAATATCATTCTTCAACTCAACAACAGAGCACAATTGGCATATATTAGCCAGAGTATAGAGAGTCAAAGACACGATATTGAGGTAAAATCAATAGTTAAGAAGGGAAATGGCAGAAGCTGCAGGCAAATAGAAAATAAGTAATGACGTAGCTACCCGGTCTGTAAAGAATCCATATTCCTTTACATTTTGTCCATTTTAAAAATACCAGCCTAACTATACTATGACAATGTATCAATATCAAGCATCGTTCAAAATTCCGTTATTCCGTCGGCGAAGGCAAACTGTGATATCACCAACAGGATCCGCGATGGCACTCCAACTTTTTGGATCCATTTCCGGCAAGGCAGATTCGGGAGAGGAGATCTCGTACATTTCGAGGAGCATTATCAGCCAAAGCTTCATTGCATATTGGGCTAGAAATCTTCCCTTGCACTGCAATGTGTCAGATGGTATTTCGTTGGTGGAGAATAGCCAGCCTCACAATGTGCTCCCCACTACCCCAGGTCAGAGTGTTCGGTGCCTTCTCCGTCCCCGCTAAGAACCGATCAACTCTGTAGGTCGCGGCATCCGGATAGACGGAGTTATCGACGTGAATCGCCCTGGTATCACCAAACACATAGTCACCCCGCCGGATTACGAAGGACAAATCCCCGGAAGTGATGTTTGTGTCAAATTCGACCTCTCTCAGTGAGCTAGACAGTCCCACCATCCGAATACTTTCTTTGATAGCGGAGTCGACGAGCGGAAATCCCGGAAGTAGAGACGTTTCCTCCCTCAATGCATCCAGACTTCCTCCGTATCTCTTCGTGATCGTCTCGCGAATTTCAGAGCACAGACGTTCTAACGCATTGTGGTCTTCCAAAATGAATGCGACCATCCAAAACATGGATCGATGCAAGTTGGTGTGGAGGGACCAGTGCAGCCCCAGCAAACAGGCAGCTTGATCTCTAATGGATAGGGAACCGCTACGGACCGAATTCAGTGTGTGTGATAGCGCTTCTCCTTCGATATCTCGGCTGCCACTTCTGTCTCTCTCTCGAATATATGACACGAAGATCTCCAGAAGCCTATTGCGTGCGCGGATCCCTGACCTCGCAGTAAAGGACAAAGGGCCCATGAGGGTCAATAGGGACGTGTCGAGAATACGATAGTCAGCGTAGGTATCAAGATGAAAGGAAGGGCCAAAAAACGCGATGGTGAGTGGCTCGTATGCTGTGTAGCCGACTAGTTCTGAAAGAGTAAAAGAGTAGGTCATATTTTCAAGATTCCTGAAACGAACGTGTAGCCTGCAGTGAAATGGATTCTTCATGTCTTTTGCGATGACGCTCTTTGAAAGGAGGTGGTCCAGTGACGGAAGGAAATGACCATGGAGCGGAATCTCAAGCTCATCAAGAGCACAGCGGATGCCCAATGGACCGAAAATTCGGGCATGGACCTTCTTGGCACCCAAGGATTTACTGCGGTTCGCGAACATTGCTTTCAACAAAGTCCTATCGGATAATACGACTATGTTCTGCGTGCCCACGCTAAACCTGTAAAAATTGCCATAGCGCTTCCTGTAGAACCAGACATTCATATGTGGGTCCCTAGCCTCGACGTATTATATTTGTTTTACCTGCATTCCTGAAGCCAAGAAGGTCGCCTAGAAAAGAATGCGAACCCGGAAAACCAGTTTACGACGGGTAGGCAGCTGCGAACGACGGGGATATCTTTGGGGGCTCGAAGCCGATATACGATGTCGACACAGAGAATAAAAAAGAGGGTGATAGAGACGTTGATCAAATGAGTGTGGTCCAGCATTGTAGCGTACGTAGGATATGGTGTGGGGTCGAAGAGTTCTATTATATACAAACTGATGTTTCCCATCTCTGGGTTGACTTTGAACCAAGATTCCTGTGATGGAAGGCGACTCGGACGGCAGAGTGTCGGAATAGGACAAAAGAAGTGTTCCAGCAGCCTTGGGTGTGGGATTGAATCACCGGGCGCCTAGGGGGTTCTGAATTGATCACTCTTTAGAATGATGTTCTTGCCCAAGTTCTGCAATCCCTCATGCTATATCCAGAAAAATCGGTTCCTGTGAGAAGGCTAGTTGTCAAGTGAGCGCTAATATCCAAACATGTGCAGGAGAACTTCACATCACGGCAGTGAAGGTTACCAAGGTTATGTATTGCATACTACCATCATACAAGTCCGTACCAAGTGCGACCATCCGAGTCCGCTGAAACGTTAGTCCAGAAACGGTGATTAGCCAAAACGGTCTGCATAGAATCGCCCTGAATTTACGCGGGTTCGGAAACCACGAGAAGCCTCCTTTCGCCATGAGAAAAAATCGAACAAGAGCCTAATAGATACGCATCACCGACTAAGTTTTTGAACTTCTCAAATCATATACTCAGCCGCTAGCGCTTCAGAATATATCCAAAGTCCTTTTAGTACCTACCATCAGCAAAGATTTGAATGACAAGCTAGTGTGCTTTGACACTGCGCTAGTCAACGACCCTGCCTACACCGAACCATGGAAGCTCCGTCGCTTTCAAGTCCTCACCCGGTGGCCTTCAAGTTGCTCTATGATCGTCACTATTTTCTGTATCATCTGTTGCCAAATTATAAATTAGACCTAGAAGTTGTCACATTAATACGTCCAGGATCGACTTATTACTAAACTGGCACACAAAACCTCCTGTAGCAATGATATCCGTTCTCGTCCGTCTCATAAATAAGGCCATGGTGCTCCACATGTGTCATGAATGCCAAATTTCTGCTGAACCTCGATAGATCGTAATGGAACGTGTAGGGACAATAAGTCGGAGGCCTTCCACGCGAAGATGCACTCGTGCAGCGATATTCGCATTCAGGGAGCACACAAGGCTGAGCCAAAGAGGTGAGTGTACCACTTTGATAGAATAAGAGAAGCGTGCGCGCACGTAAATAGAGAAAAAAATACGGCCGCCTGACAGAAATATAGTAGAATGAGAGGTAGAACACATCCAATGTACCGATGCTTACGTTTATTGTAACAGAAGACACCAGAATAAGGAGCCATAGAACTGTAAGTGGCGGTCAGATCGATACAGAAAGGGAGAGTCGTCGCTGCCTACTGCAAACTGCCTGATATGACGATCAGATGGTAAACAGAAAGTTAATGACGCGGCTTACCAAGTAGTTCCGGGCGCCGTCACACATCAGTGAATCTAAAAGCTCACTTTCGGAACGACGCGGTTTTTCCAGGGAATTGTAGATGGTGATAACAATCACAAAGACATCAAAGAGCAACTAGGAAATGTTTTGGGAAAAATCAGAAAATGGATGCGGTCGCTTCTTCGAGGGAAATGGAACCCACCAAGACACCTACTGAGCAGGGTACTGTCGGCGGTATTCTTTCGATGTCGCAGATATTCTGGGATTCGGCTACAGGTAAGCATTAGCAATGAATTGTTAAAATAGACTGGATATTTGCCTCCGGTCTTCAAGTAGCTCAGGACCGACAGGGTCGATAGAATCGTTAAGGCTGTTATGCAGATACCGAATGCAACGAGCAACGTCTTGCGAACAGACTGCCTGTGATCCCAAAGGCGATAGACGCGCATCATGATGTAGACTACAGTCGGGCGGTCAGTAAAGACCCGATAAAACAGACCACACCATACAACCCACATTGTGAAATAGTAGCTACGATAATAGCAGATTCGTTAGCAAGCCAAACCACTGCTTTACATCTGCACGTATGTTGTGAGTGACTTCTCTCAAGAAGCCAGTGTATCTTACGTCTGGATATGTCACAAACGTCAGGTTATCAGGAACGCAAGACAAGTTCGTTAGGTACTGACATTGCTATCAGGAGAGCGTCCTAGTTCACTCGTCGCTAGAGTCACAAGTGAGTAAATATCCCAGGGATATGAAGCGTGTTTACGGACCATAAAGACGGTATATTAACACTGCTTCCGTAAAGTAGCGATTCAGTATGTGGACAACTTTCGTAAGAATGCGCTCGTTCAGAGGGCCCCACATTGTTGCTACTTCTTCACCAAAAGTCAGGCAATGGTCCCACAACATCAAAACCATCGCCGCAGCTACGGTTGTCAGAATCTATGCACTGTTGTGATGAACTACATGAAGGGTTACATACCAGGTGTATATGTTATAAATAATATTCGGTCAACTGGAATGGAGACAGTAGACATTGAGTATTATGTGGACGTGAGATAACTGAGGGATTAATGAACTCACAGTCGTCAAGTCGTCAATTATACGGATATCTGAAACTTGGTTCTTAAAAATAGCCCGCCTCTGTGATGAATAGAGGCAGTGAATCGAAAGACGCTTCATCGCAAGAACATGAATCTAATAGTAAGAAGACCCTGAGTCAAACGTGATTTGCACCGTTCGTTTGATAAGAGGGTGATACAGACGCCGTCGGAGGAGCAGCGATAATCATGTTATCGGATCAAAAAGTTGCGGATATGATGCCTGCTGTCGTTTCCGTTTCAGCGTGACTTTGAGCCTGCACTGTCAAGATCCACGGATGCCTGCCCTGAATGGGGGGATTGGGCAGTGAAGTCAGGATAAGCAAGACCCACAAGACTAACGATAGACAAGGAATATCAGACACGGCTTGTGCGCTCAGTATGAGGGGACCGCGGGAACTGACAGATTTACCTTTGTGTTGATCAGCAGGAGAATCACGCTTTCGAGTTTGAACCGCTTTCTTGATGTTAAAAGAAGCATCTTTCGCAAAGCGCACTTAAGGCAGAACAAAAGCCGCTAACCAGTGCAGCCGACGGCCTGTTATCGATTCAACAGAATCGAAGCATAGCCATAGCCTGAGAGAACTTGGAGGAACATATTCAAGACCCGATAAGGAATTCTCGATGACACAAATGTAACTTTGCCAAGCATGGCCTTTTCAGTCTAATGATTAATGGTCGTCCTGGAACAAAGATACCAAATCGGTTTGAGAGCAAAGCCTCCATGTTTCGTCAAAGTTGTAGAGTTCAATCCTCTCAACTGCAAGCGCCCAGATTGGGTCTCTCTTGCATAGTACACAGCCAGAGGTTTGGATACTAGGAAACATGCAGCTAAAACAGGTGCAAAAAAGCGAATGAAAACGTGCCTTTTTGGACAGAGCGAAAATCGTCAGGTATTCAGCTCGACTTTGAGTGCTATGGTCTCTCCATGTCATAGAGCGATTCATGAGAAGGTTTTAGTAATAGCCAGACACTGGGAATCACGGCATTTGCCAAGCCCGTAGAGCCAGTCTCTATCCGTGTACTTAACCGCTGGACCATTTAAATGATTCTTTATCATTTGTTAGGCCTTCGACTTTTTTATATTATCCCAAGCAATTAGAAACA